AAGGAAAAAAGAAAAAAACAGGAGAGAAGGAAAAAAAAGGAAAAAAGGAGAAAAAAGGAGAAAAAAGGAGAAAAAAGGAGAAAAAAGGAGAAAAAAGGAAAAGAGAAAAAAGGGAAAAAGGAAAAAAGAGGAAAAGAGGGGGGAAGAGGGGGAATGAAGAAGAAATAGAAATAAAGAAAAAATAAAATTTTGAAATAAAAATAAACAAAAATTATATTAAATTTAAAATTATAAAAGCCTATGTGTTTGGAATACAAGGTGGGATGTCAGGACAAAGGGACACGCAGAGCCATCAGGTCAGAGAACTGCACAGATCCATTAGTTCCAGAGAACCCTGGGAATCATCATCTCCTTGTCACCCTCCGGCCCCGCTGCTGCCCTGGGATGGTCAAACCAGGTGTCCTTTGTGCCCCTGCCCTGCTGGGAAGGGGCTGTACTGGTGAGCAGGGGACAGGCAATGGAAATGTAGGATTGTGGAATCATTAAGGTTGGAAAAGACCTTCAAGATCATCGAGTCCAACCATGTTCAACACTAAACCACGTCCCCAAGTGTCACACCCACACGCTTTTTGAACACTTCCAGGAATGTTGATTCCACCACTTTCCTGGGCAGCCTGTTCCAATATCCCACTCCAGCCTCCTTCCCAAGGGGAATTAATTTCTCCATGGATACCCGGGGATGCAGCTCACAGGGGAAGCCACCGGGCCTGCTACAGGCAAAGTAAAATAAAATCAAACCAAACCAAACCAACAGAAAATGACTTTACATGGCAGGATATTCCATTCGCTTTTCCTGGTTCCATTCTGTACATCAGAACACTGCAAGGGTTTTACAAACCAGAGAGGCAAAGGCACCTGAGGAGTGTCTCAAACACACACACGCACACACACACACACACACACACATCCCCACGAGCCACATCCATCCACGGGATGTTTGGGTGGTTTGAGGGCCCTGGGAGTGTTTTGGGCTTGAGAGCCTTTTGCTCTGAAGGCTTTGGAGAGAAGGAAAACACCCACCCACCACTGAAGGACGGAGAAAACCCAAACCAAACAGATTCAATGAAAGAGAAGAAAACAGCTTAAAAATGGTTTTGATTTTTTTTTTTTTTAAAACTTTGGTGAACATGTACTTTGTTGCTCTCTTCTGCCAAGCCCCTTCCCAGCCAACGATGATTTTTTTTTTCCCTTGTATTTGTTTCCAGCCATCCCATATTACTGATCAGACTGATGGGTTTGGTCCTGTTCACAGAATAAAGTCCTTCATTCCCCCTTGGCAAGGGGTGACTTTACCCCCTCGAGGAAAGCTGTCCATCACTGTCATGGTCGACTGGCACAAAGCCCCGGTGCTGCTCCATCACTGCCCCCCAGCTTCCCCGGATCCCAGCCTGGGCAATAACCAGCCTCTGCAGCTTTCAGGCAAACTTATAGGGAATTATTTTAGCTGTTTCTTTTAATTTGCCCTAACACTCACAGAGTTTCATTATTTTAAAACTGAAATAACCCATAGAATCATGAAATCATCAAATGTTTTGGGCTGGAAGGGATCTTAAAGGTCACCTCGTTCCAAGCGCCCTGCCACGGGCAGGAACACCTTCCACTAGACCAGGTTGCTCCAAGCCCCATCCAAACTGGCCTTGAATGTTTCCAGAGAAGGGTCACCCAGAGCTTCTTTGGGCAACCTCTTAAATTTTGCTTCTCTTTTCAGAGCTAAGGATGCAGAAACGCTCCCGCCGCCACACCAGCATTGCAAAGCCTTGATCTCCTCCACACGGAAGAATTCAAGGATGTATTCACACAAACAACCAATTTCTCACTTTCCTCTTAAGTCTAAGCAACACTTTTCATTTTCAACGAACACCAGTGTTAAAATAAACCTGTGTCTGGCGCTAGCCTGAGGATGGAACCTCCCAATACCTTCTTATTTAACCCTTTGCTGAGCCAGGTGGAACTAGCTAACCCCGCAGGGAAGGGGGAGGTGGGATGGAGCAACTAATTTATCCAAAACAACCAAGATCTGATTAATTATTTAATTACCTTCCAGGGATTCTGTGCGTGCTCCCTGCCAAGGTTTTCCAGCAGGGACAGAGGCCACTGCTAGAAAACTCTGACCAGTTTTCCAGCTGGTCAGAGGCCACAGCCCAGCTCTGCTTTCAACTGGCCCATTTTCTCCTACAACTTTAAATCTACTGTGGGAAGAAATCTCCTTCCAGCTCCCCTCGACCACCACAGATCCACTCCCCTGGTCTGAGGCTCCATGATCCTGCAGCTGCTCCCTTGGGCACCACCAGGGAGATGACATCCCCCTACCCTGTACCTGGGGATGGTCTCACAAGACATGGAGGAGAAGGCACCCAGATCCACAGGCACTGGTCCTCTCTGCCTAATTTTAGGCACTCACTTGGGTTTTACAAAGACCCCCTGGGCTCTTCCTACAGCTTCACTTCCAAAACACATTGGCATCCTCCCAGCCCCAGCATAGCAGCATGGGCATGGATTAGCAGAGCTGTGGCTGAGCAGAGCCATCCTCGCTGAGATTCCCTTCAGCTCCCACCTGAATCCAGATGGTTCCCAATGTGATCTGGCTGGTGCTGAGCCCTGCCAGCATCGACAGCGTTTAAACACCATTGTCATTTAAACAGCCCTCAGCCCGTGGCAGGGGTTCCGGGCATCCGTCCGTGGGTGTACCCAGCAGAGACCTCCTGCACCCCGAGAAGACCCCTTTCTTCCCAGACTCACACACACACACACACAGACACACACGCACACATACACACGCACAAACGCAAAGTCAACACGGCTGCTGCATCATCACACCCGACTCCGAGTCGAGCATCACTCCTTGATTGTAACCGCGTAAGGCACAGGACAGATTGAAACGCCGCCCCCCTGGAGCCGCCGGCTGGTCCCACGAGCTCCAGCGGGGTCGGTCCCCTTGGGAACGGGGACACCCGGGTCCCCCCGACTCTGCGGTCTGAGGATCATCTCCTCCGGCTCGGCTGAAGGCCCTGTCTCTGTTCCTCTGCGAAAGGCAGTGATGGCCACTGAGCATCCGATTCCTCCCCCGGTCCTGAGGGTGCTGCCAGCACCGCCGTCATGCTGGGGGGACAGACCCCATTTGCTGCACTTCCCCCAAGAGATCAGTTACACGATGAGGGGGGACAACCCCGGTACCGCTGGCGGCGAGGAGGTTACGTGGTCCCAGGCCAGCACCCGCACAGTCCGGGAAATCCCTCGCTCCGAATTCCCGGCGCCAACAGTCCCGAACGCAGCTTGAAAATCCAACAGCGCGGCGGGTGCCGAGGCAGCGACGAGCGAGAAGGGACCTGCGGGGGCCACTGCCAGGACAGCCCCGGGCAGGGGTCTGACCGCGGGTCCAGCGGCCGCCTCCGTCCCGCCGGCGCTTCCCAACCCCGCTGCCGGGGGCTCAGAGCCCGCAGTTGACAAAGGGGTGTCTCAGCAGGTCCTCGGCCGTCGGCCTCCGCTTCTCCTCCACGAAGATCTGCTTGAGGAAGTTTCGGCAGCAGCTGGAGACGCTGTCGGGGAGCTGGGGGTTGGTCGGCTGGGTGGCGATCTTGAAAATAGCCGCCATGGCCTCAAACTCTGCCCACGGCGGCTTCTCCGTTAACATCTCCACCACGGTGCAGGCCACGCTCCTGCAACAGTGCCAAGCACAGGGGTGAGGCGGGGGGAAAGGGTCAGGGGTGGTGGCCCTGCAGGTGATGTCTGATCACCTGCCTGAATGGACTGTGTGGGAAGCAAACGCCCACGAGGTGAGCACATGTCCCCCAAAGCTCCCTGGTCGCACTTGGCACTGGGATTTCCACTCCCACAGCAGGAGTGAACTGAGGAGCCTTGCCCTAAAGCTGGTGGATTTTCTGCCTAAGTTAACCATCAGATACTAAGTTTCATAAAACTGTGTGAGAGATCTTATCAGGGCATCCCCTGAAGGGAAGCCCAGGCACAGGTTCAGACACCATAGTTTCAGCAATACTATGTAGCTCCCCAGGAAGCTGAGCCAGAATGAAACATGTTTGCTCATTCCCAACTTAATCTCTGAGGTGTATCTGAGAAAGAACACATCTGATGAGCAGCAAAAAGCCTGAGAGGTTTCTCTCTGCCTGCTGAGTCGTCCTTGTCTCAGCAAGGACACTCTGCCACCTCCATTCATAGTTGATTCTAAAAAAATTAAACCACATTTCCCTTCCATCAGCCAGGGCAGGTGGGGCAGGGTACATGGCTGCCTGCTGAGGACTTCCAAGAGAACCCTATTTGATGGGGAAAAGCTAGGAAGGACTAGTTTTTGTTGAAGCTACTTGCTTGGTCACGCAATGGAAAGCACACTGAAGGCAGTACTTCCTCCTCATTTATTGGGAGGATTAATACTGTTATCCCAACTCTTTCAGACTCCATCTTACATCCTTCACAAATTAAATCATTCACAAGCAGCCAATAGTTTTTGTTGTCTTCGTGCCTGAGCCACATGCAAACATCCAGGAGCAGATTTTGAAAGGCCTCAGGTCTTCTGAGCCTCTGAGCTCGGCTTAGCAAACCTAAAATCAGGGCCACCAAAACTCAACAGCTCTTTTAGTGAACTTCGTTATCAAATTGCTTTCCAGAATTGAGAGCAGTTATGGGACTAAGCTGAACATGATACTCACACACGACAAGAGCTTCCAAAAGCAAGCTCTGATTCTGACTGCTCCTGTTTTGGGATCTTCAGCTACAACATGCTCCCTCTGGATATCCACACAGCTGATCCTAACATACGTCTCCTATTTCCATCCTTTGCACTGCTTCCAACTACTGGCTACACCTGTTGCTCCCATTACAACTTCCCCAAAGGATTGCCTGATTTAAGTAGCAGTGGTGGGGTTTGTACTGTATCCCTTACCACACATCAGCTTTCCTTCCGTAGCCCTCTCCACTGATAACCTCCGGGCTCATCCAGTACGGTGTTCCCGTGACAGATTTAATCCCAGTCCCAGACATGCAGATGGTCTGGATGCGTTTGCTGGCCCCAAAATCTCCAAGTTTCACATTTCCAGCAGAATCTCTCAGGATATTGGCACCTGGGGCAAAAAGCAAAGACAAAACCCCAAGAGATGAAAGCAACAACCCGAACTGAAGTGGCTATAGTGAGGACAGAAGGAAGGGCACGGGCACAGAGCCGGGCATGAGGGGGCCCAAAGGGCCGTGGTGGGGCTGGACTCAGCATTATGTAAAATCCTTTTCTCCTAAAGCAGCTGCTCTCCAAGAGGGTTGACTCCCACCAGCATCCCCCCACTCAGGACGTTTCCCAGAAGTGAGCAGTGGATGGGAGCTGACAGATCATCCTCTCCACCCACAGACAGCAGAATAGAGCCCCAGACCTTTCCAAATGCCAGAGCCTCTCAGTTCCTGGGTATGTTACACCAGGTTTTCACATGTGCAAGAGCAGTTAACAATAATTCCTCTTGAGAGAAGACAGCACAAGATTTTGGCTTCAGCTGCACGTTCAAGATTTTCATGGTTCAAGCTGGTGAAGGGCAGGGGCAAAAATACTTTAAATGTGAGATCCCAGCACTATGCTGTGCACAAGAATTTATACTGGGGCCAGGGGAGGCTGGGTTGAACAAATCCAAGCAAGCAAGAAGCCTCTCTGTATTATCCACTCACCTTTAATGTCCCTGTGGACAATCATATTGCTGTGTAGGTAGAAGACTCCCTGCAGGATCTGCCTGGTGTACTTCCGTGTGACATTCTCGGTCAGAGCACCGTAAGCTTTTAGCTGGTCCTTTATTGAGCCCTGTTGCAAAGAAACAACATGAACCCGCCGTAAGGACCAGCAGAACTTATCGTGTCACAGGAACTTTTTAAGCTTTCCTGACCACTTTATCATCCAGCTCAAAAAAACCCCCAAACCATTCTGTGTAGAAACAGCACAAGTCCACTTAGTGCTGAGTGGAGGAAAGATTTGTCCTCATGTCCCAGATCCCAGCGGAGAAAAAGGTAGTTTCTGGTGCATGTCGGTGCTTCCTCCTGGCAGCACTACAGACCTTTTTCCCCCTCTAGTGGCTGGATGGGTGTCACCGCCTCATGGAGACGGACCAAACTGATGAGGAATTACAACTCAAAGTGAGATCAACTCGACTAATTAAATTCATAGAATCATTATGGTTGGAAAAGACCTCTGAGATCATCGAGTCCAACCATTAACCCAGCACTGCCATTCAACACCAAGCCATGTGTTTTCTGAACACTTCCAGGGTTTTCTGCCTACTTCCCTGGGCAGCCTGTTCCAATGCTTCACCACCCTTCCAGTGAAGGAATTTTTCTAATACTCAATCTAAATCTCCCCTTTCCCTATTGTTTCCCCTTGTCCTATCATTTGTTACGTAAGAGAAAAGAATGACCCCACCTGCCCACAACCTCCTTTCAGGTAGCTGTAGAGAGCCAGTTCTTGGGGCCAAGAGAACTCAGTCTTCTATGAAGCCTCCTCCCAAAACTTCACACAGCAAGGAGCACCCACGGCCATGAGGGACAACACCCACTCACAGGACTGCTCCAACAAGAAGACCCAGGGTAGGGAATTTGCTACTAATTGAATCTCTCAAACTGGTTTGATTTTATTGATCAAAGAGGAAAGGACACAGAGGTGCAGATATTATCATCTGCAAGAGGCTGACACCCTTGGCTTTAGCTGCATTTTCTGTCCACTTGAAAGTTAGATGTGTCTCACTGCGCCAGAGCCGGGTTTTAGCAGGATGAACCAGAGGCAGATTTGGGGTTCACACTCAGCTCTACCTCCAGTACTCAGGTTAGCTGGGAAGCAGGAGGGGAAACTCATGCTGCTTCTGCCTGTCCTGCAGCTCTGGGGTTGATCCAAGATTGCCAGTCCTTCTGTTCTGGGAACAGTGGCTGCTCTGCTCCAAGTCAGTCTGTCAAACTTTATCAGCTTTTCCACATCCACCCAACTCTGCTGTTGCTCTCTACAGCTACTGTTTTGGCTTCTTTTGAGGCTGGTAGTGATCCTGTGGATGGGCCTCTCCTTTCCCTTTCACAGCACTGCTGGAGCCACCCGAAATGCTCTAAATGACCCCCTCACACAACCTGTATGCAGGGTATGTTCACTCACCCACAACCAAACAAGCTTTCTTATCCTGTCCTCCCTCCCCCTGAGGGGGGACATCAAACAAGAAGGTGGCACAGGTTCTTTGAGGCCTGTGGTCATTCTGTTTTCCAAGCACAAATTAAATAAAATAGCTTATGGGCAGGACAGAAACTACAAAGTCAGCTATTAACTGGGTTCATAAGAACAACAAGCTAATGATGCACCCAAGCTTGGCCCCATGAAGATTTTGCCAAGCTATCTGTCTTAAATTGGAAGTTTGGCCAGACCCAGCATTGCAGAGCTGCTGCCCTGCAAGGTCTGGGAACTCACTCACTTCCACTGGCCTTGGAAACCAGAGCCCTGGGCTGCTTTTGTGAAATGAACTGTTGTTTCAGCAGCAAAGTCAATCTGTATTTGGTCAGAGCTCAGGTTTATCATTAAAAAAAACAAACACTGAACTTCCAGCCCTGCTGGACGCTGCCCCAGCATCAAATGCTGGTTTCCTGGCTGCTAACAAACATCGGCACGCTGCGGAATAAGCAGCAAGGGGACTGCTGGAATTCCTGGGATTTACTCCTCTGGGTCCACGCCTTATGGTGAGACCTTAAAATGAGATGTCTGCCCACAGGGAGAGAGGGAGGACATGGCTCAGATGCATGGAAGTCCACCTGACCACTCACATGCAAGATGTGTTAGAAGAGCTTCTAGCACATTTACTAAAGACCAAAATTATTTGCAACCAGATGACTTAATTGTCCCTTCTGACCTTACAAATATCTGTATAAACAAGGGTTTATTCTCCCACACTCTGGGGAACAAATCCAGCTGGACAGGAGGGACTTGGGAGAACAGATCCTCCAGCAATGTAAATAGCATTATGCTGATTTACACCAACCGATGACTTTGTCTAATGGCTGACGTAATTCACAAGCTCCCAAACAGAAAGAGATATTCAACTCATCCATGTACATTTTCCAGCCCTGCTTAGACTCCCTCAAAGCTTTCTGACCTTCTTTTTCCCAGGGGCTATTTCATCCCATATCAGCAAAGTCACAAATTGAAGCTGCTCGTGCACGAGAGGATAACGCTCCCCACAAAAAGCTCTGTCCTCAACAGAAGGCTCCAAGTGAGTAACACTGTTTTTAATACACACGTGCTGAAAAGCCACAAATAATTGGTGACAGCTGTGGGAGGACAGTTGTACTATTAGCTTTTCCTGCAGGGATTTGCAATAAATACTTAAGGGTGGGCTCAGGCCACAGTGTTTGGAGCCAGATCCTGGATCACGTCCCACATTCGCCAAGTGCGGATTCCAGACTGTGAACACACCCTGCTCCAGGATTCAAACCTAAAACCTGCCTGTAAGGCTTTTCATTTCACCCAGTGCACGTTGAGGGGCTTCACTATGACATCTGACTCACATCCTAAGCTTTTCCAAGTCCTTAGGGATGCATCCAGTGCTCTGGTTTAGCTCATCAGCTATGGAGCAGCTCAGCTGGATAGTTTGGCTCCAGATCCAAATTTCACCAAACTCCAGGACAGTTTCAATCTGTTTTCTGCCATTCAGGACAGGAGCCACACTTACCCCTGGCATGTATTCAACAAAGATAGACAGTTTCTTCTCCTCGGGGTCCCTCAGGCACCCATAGTACTGCACTATCCTGTCGTGACGGAGAGTCTTCAGCAGCTGGATCTCACATTCTAAAGCATTCACCTCCTGTAACAAAACAGACTTCCTTGTGAAAGGGAATGATAACTTTGGGAATATTATCCAAATACTGCTCGATGCTGAGCACACTTTCTGCAGCCCCTGTGAAGCTGTCTGCAAAGAAACTGGCCACAGGAGGCTCAGAAATGAGGAGCACTGCTTTAAGAGAAAGGTAAGGAGAGAGACACATGGGATACACAAGGGCTTGGCTTTGAGACAAGTTTACTTATTATTCCAGGAGTTTTTCTGGAAAGGTGTCAGTGAAGTCCCCAGCAAAGCTAATGCAGTGCCCAGAGAGGAAAGAAGGTGAAGGGGAGCAACAAGGACAAAACTAAGGAAGAGCAGTTACACCTGCAAGAGATGATACCTGAGACAGAGCAGGCCAATGTGACCAAGGGACTAAGAGGCAGAGGAGTCACCAGAGCACCCTGACTGGTGCCACAAGCCATTCAGGACCACTCTAGAGAGGGAAAACAACACCCTGCCTCCACACACCACCTTCCATCAGGGACACAGATACCTCCACCCTCAGCCTCCAGCCCACAACTCCCCAAGGTGCTGCAGAACAGAGTCCTGCCCTCATACTCACTTTACTTGTCTCTTGGCTGTCAGGATCAAAAGGCACCTGCTTCACCGACAGCTCCCGCCCAGTGTCAGCGTCGTAGCAGAGATAAACCTCCCCAAAAGCTCCTCTTCCCAGCAGCTTCCCCAGCCTCCAGTTCACAGGTGCCTGCAGGGCTGTACAACAGAGGAGAGGGTTCAAAGAGTGCATCAGGGAGGCTTCAGCATCCTCCTGACCCGACAGTGTGCAGGGCAGTCAGTGAGCCACCCTCTCCCAGGGGCACCAGGACAAACCAGTTTTAGCACTGGTGCTATTGGCATGGGGGGATGTCTCCCAGTCTGCACTAGCATTAAGCAGTATCAAGTCCTAAAAAAATCCTATTTCATTAAGAGTCCTTCCTCCAAAACTTGTTTTCTTAGCCAATGTTGGACTTGCCCCTCTGCTCTGGGACTGGTTAGTGAGATACAGCATGGCTGAGCAGCAGCCCAGGCAGGGACCAGTAAGGACTTTTTTTATCTCACTGCTCATTCCTAGGTTGTTATTTATCACTGAACAGGCCCCAAATGCACCAAGTTCTACAGTATGGGCAGTTTTGCAATGGCAGAGGAACCTGGGTGCTGGGGTGACAGCAATGTCACCAGAGGAGTGGAGCCTCTGGATGCATTTGCTCCCACAACCCAAGCCTCTCTGAAGCTTCTGCTGCGTGAGCACACTGACAGTCCAACACACAAGCAATTTTCTGCAACCCAGCAAGTGCTGAACACCAGCTGACACCATCAAGGCCAAGGTAAGATACAGTGTGTTATATTAAATCATTCTCATTGAGACACAAGCTCATGCAATGTGTCTTGTGCTGGGGGTGCATTCACCCATGGTTGACTCAGCTGCTCATGGTAACTCAGCAGGTCTTGGCAACTCAGTTTTGTGTTGAGGCTCAGTTCTGCTGAGACCTCAGGCACTCGGGGCTTTGTTTCACTCACAGTTCCTCGCTTTTGTAGGGGAGGTGCTGAAGACCTGCAGACCCTTCTCGCAATTGTTCCAACATTTGGGCCTGTACTCGTCGTACTGCAGCGTACTGAGCTTGCTGTCCCCATTAAAACTCTTGGTTCTGCTGGAGGGGACGAGCTGGAACAGGTTCTCCTGCGGGAAGTAACTCCTGGGGAAAGTCCTCCGACCTGCAGGAGAAAAGGGGGAAAGTTACAGCAAGAACACACACACACCAGGTTGGACCTACCTGTCACCACCTTCTCATGTCACTGCCCAGATCCTCACCTCTTCAGTTGAAACAAAACAACTGTAATTAAACTGAAGCAAAGCCCTGCAAACATTTTAAATTCAATTTAAGAGTTGATAACAGCAGGAATTACATCTAATGCAGATGCTTCCAGAGGGGTTTGCAACAGTTTAATTACATTAGAGGGTTTGTTGGCTGTTAATCACAATTAAACATTGAACAGGCAGGGATTTACATTGCAAATTATCCCTGCCATCCCCTAAGTCCATAATGCAAATGACCACACAGCAGTGCCAGACCTGCTTTCACAGGGGTGTCAGTGAGAGATGAAGTTCATTCTGGAAGGCTCAATATGCTCTCTGCATGTACTCACTACTTTTTTCCCAAGGGAATTTGATTCTAATTCAGTTTGGCCTCCCACCACTTGCAGTCTCACACAGTGAAGGAAAGAGCAGGAAAAAGGTGATGGAGTGGTCCCCAAAGCTCAGAACTCAACAGCTGAAAACAGAGAACAGAACAGAAACTGCTACCCTGAAATTGCTCAGGGATTTCCTACAGCTCTGTGAGAAACCTGCTGTAAAGGTCACAAAACAGCATCCTCAAAAACAAGCAATTTAGGGAAACTGAAAGGTTGATTTTGCCAGGGATGAGAAATGCCAATCATCCACAGGGCTAAGTTAAAACTGCAGGTGTGAGCAGCAGAGGAGCTGAGCACTGACTTTCCTATAGGCCGTAGTTGCTCAGCACTTCCCAAGAGCAGAGCCTCAAGGTTGCAGGGAGGATGCTCCTCAGAACACACAAGTGAATCCCAAATTCCTTGGCGGTTCTCCCTTTATTAGAAACCTCTCCTTCCCAGGTCTTTCCAGTCCTAAGCACTGTCACAAGCCATCAAGACCCTGGACCGATCACCCACCCTTTTCTTACCGTCACTGTAGTCCTTGCGGCTTTGGGAGAGGTGGTACTGCCTCGGGAACGTCCCGCCCTTCCCAAACCTCTCGCAGAACGGGATGTCGAAATCTGACAGGAGGGAAGAAGACACACATGTTTCCGAGATCAGCTCCGTATCAAGTGCCCAGAGTGTTTCTTATGGGAAACACTGAATTACAGGGAAGAACGAGGTGACAAGCTGTTCATTTACACAACCCTACGTTCCCCAAGGCTCCCTCTGAAATCGCTCCACAGTCACACACTCCTCAGTGGAAAATCAGGGTTAGACACACTGCTCTTGGTGCCCCTAAAGCAGAGGTTTAACTGCTGACTTTAAGGACCCTGGCCCACACTGTTCAAGTGAAAGGCAGAGGACTGACGTGAACCATGCCTAGTTTCCAAGGCAGAGCACTAAACGTCTTATTTGCACATGGAAAACACAAAAATCAGTGTGGATACAGAACTGCCAGGCAGGGTCAGGCCTAGATCCATATATCCAAAACCTTTGCTCTGAAGTCAGTTATTTCCAGGGAAATGCAGAAATCCAGCACTTGTGCCAATACCAGACAATCTCTCCCCTCTTTCTTCTCAGATGCGACTCCTCACCTCTGAAAGCCAGGGACCAATTTATACCTCCAGAGCTCCAAACTTTTATATTTACTTTGATTAAATGCTAGAAAGATAGAATATACAGAAGGGATTAAAGACCATCAGAGTTCAAAAATGGGATGATGAGAGAGATGGATGGACATAAAAGATAAGGACATATTTTTTTAATAAAAGCCACAGCACAGGAAGCCATTGCTGGTAGCACCAAATAACTTGAGATTAAAACATCCCTCCCCAAGTTTCACCTGCTGTTTTTCCTCCCTCCAGTTCTAATGACACAGCCCGTTCTGATTGTTTGTTTGTCTTAGCCTGGGGCCAGCAGCCGCTCCTTGGAGGCCGTTCCTGGCCTCTGCTGCTCTTCAGCATGATTGCCAAAAGGAGCACATAATGGCTGAAATATGGTCAGCAGGAGAAGCAACAAGGACAGGGCAAGAGGTTCTTGGGGAGCCACGTGTAAGCGATGGTGCCCAGTGGTGTCTCAAAGCAAAATGACACGGGGGGAGCATTAAAAACCTTCTGCAACGTGGCCTGACTGCAGCTTCATCTCTGCAGTTCAATCTAGAAATCCTGCCTCAGGCCAGGAATGAGTTCTCCTGCCACAAGGCTGGCTGCCATTTGCTCATTTTTAATAGTGCAAGTCATTACAATATTGCAGAGTTTCCATGATTTAACCAGCTGGATGTTTATAAGTGATTAAGCAGTAACTTATGATCCCTGCAAGTTACCAGTAGGTTTCTCTAACAGCATTTGCACTGTTGCAGATTATTGTTAATGCAAGCAGAAGAGGTGTAACTCCCTAGAGAGAGTTGAGTTTTGCTCTGTAGGAAGTGGAGATCCTGAAGGGACAGCTCCCAGGTACTATCAGAGACAAAAGGTGATCCCACAAGGCTGTTTGCAGCTTGCCAGCACCTCACAGTTTTCTCCAAACAGAAGAGCACAGCCCTCTCAGCAACATCTTCCAACACAGATCTCTCAAAAGCTTTACTTGCTCATATTCATCTACTTCATGGCCTTTGCTGCCCAGTTTGGACTGTTGTTGCTGTAAATTGATACCCAAATCAGGTCCAAAGGTTCTTCAGTGCTACCAGCACTGCTGCAGAGTCAAGAAGGGTTAATGAAGACAAGAGCAGCCCTGCCTGTGTTTGGTGCTCTGGGTCTTTTAATTTTAGAGAACATTCAGGTTTGATCATTGCAGAGTCAATTCTGAAGTGTAACCTAAGCAGTGAGGTTGGTTTGCTTGATTGCTTTTAATTACTTTCCATGCAGTGCCATCTCTCTAATAGCCTTTATCCAGCCTCTTCACTACATACTTTTTATACTTTTAAGCAAATATAAACCACCAAGAGTGCTTACCCATGCAATCAAGGCTGTCTTTGGGATGGCTCTTCCTTCCAGGAACAGGGGTTTGCGTAAAAGGAGGGCTACAAAGAGATGAAAAAAAAAAAAAGCAGGATACATTTATTATATCAGAAAGGCTATGGAATTAATAGACTTTAGAAAGGACAGGCTAAACCACAAGCTGCACTGATCACTGAGCTCCCATCCTCATCCTGCACAAAAATGAAGATTGGTTTTCTCTGCTGGATCACAGCGTGTTCCTGTGGCAAACAAAAGAGATGCTGCAAAAACCACAGTCACCAGGCTGAAAAGAAGCAGCCAAAGATCAGAACACCTGTGCACAAGGCTGCACAAGAGGGCTGCAGATTTCTCTGCCCTCAGCATCAAGTATTCAACTGTGCAACTCTGCTTTCTATGGGCATTGTTCAGTTGCTGCAGAGGTACACACTAAAGTCCTTCAGTCATGCCCAATTCATGCAGGTAGGTTTCCCCTTTTCTGCAACATCATCCCCCACCCTCCTCTCACAGGAAGGTCTGTACCACCACTGGGAACATGCACACTCCCAGGAGACCAGGAGGGAGAGTGCGGGATCGGTGCCTCAAGGCTCAAGGTCTTTGAAGTACACTGAGCGATGATAAAGCACTGCAAGGGGACCTCAGCAATCCCAGTTTCACCCCAGGCTCTGTAAGGGCCAACAGGGTGATCTGGACACATTGCTTTGCCACTTTCCCTTTCAACAATATGGGCACAGAGCAGAAATCAGCTTTGTGAAGTGCTCTGAAACCTGCTCATGTCAAAGTTGATCACAGTTATGGCAGAGAGGAATTTGTTGTGCTGTTCCTGAGCCTCAGCCTGGCCACCATGCCTGGTAACTCACTCTGCTCCCTGGAGCTGATGCCATCCCAAGCAATTGGCTGTAAGGGCTCAGCTATATCTTTGCAGGAATAGTCTTACTCCTCTTTTTGCCTTGGAATAACACAGCCCTTCTTGGGCCTTTTCCAGCTCCTAGACCTCATGACTGGACACACCTGCCTGCTTTGCATATGAAATCAAGCCATACCACCCTCTCACAAAGACGCCCAAAACTCTTCTCTCAGTTCCCAATGCAAGTGTTACAACCAGCCCACACTCCTTCTGCTGCTCTTCCCGGCAAAGTCTGTGCAAAAGCAAAGCTGGGGCAGAGAGGCCGGGAGCACAAGGAATCCAGCTTCGATACAGCCGTAACAATGAGCAAATACATCACAGGAAATTATTAAAAGCCACAAAAAGGAAATGGACCACGATGCTGAGACAGATCCAAAGCGCACAGAGCAGCAAACCCGAAGCACGCTACACAATCAACCCGACGCAGACCTGCTGGAACACAGCCCTGGTGCTGTATGGCAAAAGCAACAGCGGAAAAAAATAGAAAATCTTTGATGCAGACGGAAAAAAATAATATACCGCTTCCCAAAAGGACACTGTGTCTTATGCACAGCAGCAAACATACAGTTTCTGTGCACGTGTGAGTCGGGACCGAGCAGCCGCATCAGCCATTGAGTCCCAGCCTGGGTTAGTACAACGTGTCCCAGTTGCTTCCTGCTGAGAAGCTAAACTTAGTTATTGCTTGTCTGGTGTCCTCAGCACCTTGACTGACACGTCTGTGGCTGCTGGCAGTGCACAGGGGCTGCTGAGTTTACCAGTGGTCAATGGAGAGCAGACAGCATGCTCGGGGAGGAGGGGACATGGAAAGGCTAATGGAGTATTGACCCGGTGACTGCAGAGAGCCAGAGAGGTGGGAGGTACTGTGAGGGTGGGGAGGCCCTGGCACAGATTGCCCAGAGAAGCTGTGGCTGCCCCATCCTTGAATTGTTCAAGGCCAGGTTGGACGGGGCTCGGAGCAACCTCGTCTAGTGGAAAGTGTCCCTTCCCATGGCAGGGGGGTGGAATGAGATGATCCTTAAGGTCACTTCCAACCCAAACCATTCCATAATTCTATGAGAGGGGTCTGACAAAAAAAAAAAAAGAAAACCTGGGCACACAAAGCCAGGCTGTCTTTGTCCAGCTCAGATTACTGCAACTCAAATCATATCATCCCACAGACATCTGTGCTAGGATCTGGTTTTCAGCGTTAAAGATAAATTTGTTTCGCTCAGGTGCATCCTCACCCCAGCAGAAATCTCAGGGGATGCCACTGACTCCACTTCTCTCCCGCTGTGGAGCAGAAGCTGCATTTCAGCTGGTGAACGTGATGGGAAGTACAACTCACCTGTCCACAGATCTGTCCAGCGACTGGCAGCTCCCAGACAGCGAGTCGTCAGGGCTGATGAAAGCTTCAAGCATCTGACAGTGAAAGAAAAGGGGAAACAATGAAACCATGCACTGCAGCTCCTCAAGCTCCAGAACCTCTGCAGAATCAACAAAGCTGCTCCAAAGCCAGCTGATTTACACCAGCTGATGCCAGTCCCATAGGGATGAGATTCAGCCTAACAAAAATTTTCTTCCCAGTGGAAATCCATTTATGATGCCCTCTCTGCATTTTTTGTTCTTTCCAACTGCTGTTTGCCAGAAGGAAAACTGAGGCAAAGATAATTAGCACCCTGATGCTCAAAGCATGAGGAGAAGTCAATGAGATTCAAAGTATAATAATAATACTGAAAGAAAATATGTATCAGGACACAAAAGATGTGCCCAAGGCCAAGTGGATATTGTGTACCACAGCCAGGACTGCAGCCCTGGACTCCTCACTTCCCGAGCTGCCCTGGCACATGAGCCCAGCCTTCGTCTCCACTGATAAGCGCAGCATCATCAGGGTTGTTGGCCGGAGGAACTGGCTTGGCTCTCACCAGCCCAGTGAGTCAAAAGCTGCATTTGTGTTGCTTCCTGGATGAGACATTGTACTGGCCGGGGTTATTTATAGCTGGTTAGTAACAATAGAGGGTTTGTGTGGAGTGGTAAACCCAGGGGCTGTGTGCACTTCCACATGGAGCAGAGCCTGCTCCGGGCCACGCTGTGCTGCAGGCAGCACCACGCTCCCTCCTGGCTGCACACACTGCTCAGCCCTGCTCCACAGCCAGCCCAGCTCACTCCTGGGAAAGCTGAGAAACGAGGGTTAAACACCACGTGAAGTCACATTTTGCTGGTTCCCACATGGCTCCTCCTTCCCCAACAGCCTCCCTTTCCATGTGCTGTTCCTGTAAGACCTCCTCGACCGGTTGTCACAACAGCTCCTGTTGTTTTGGCTGGACAGGCCCAACTGCGAAGTGCAATTTTTCTCTGCTTCCCAGTTTTTAAACCAAAACCCTCACCCTTCAAAATGCACTAGCCAAAAAGGATGAAGACCTCTCCTAAAACCCACTCCCCGCCTCTGCCAGCCATGCCAGGTCTCTCCCAGCAGCTAATGCTGAAACACACTAATTTCTCAAAAGCATAAAATTGGGAATTGGAGCATGCTCCATACTCAGCCTCTGTTTATCTGCCAGGCTGGTCTCAGGACCACAGTTACATCACAGGCTTGCACAGGGGCATTCCCCAATGGGCAGCAAGCTCCAGTTTGTAAGTGGTTTTCTGCGAGGCACGTATAGAAGCAGCAGTACAAGGACATTCTGAGGGCAAAGCCCACATAGGGAAAAGCATGGCTGCTCAATGAGAAAAGGAAGAAAAACCCAAAGCACCCTCAAACTCCCTTTTTCCTGCATTTAATTCACCAGAGAAGGGCTGCAAGCCACCCACAGTGTGATGCTGGGGAAAAGCAAGGAGAGCATCTGGGAACCTTCATAAGGAGCGGGCTCAGGCCTCTGAACTGATGGAGCTCCGTGAACAGCTGGAGGAGCTGTGCTGATTTACACCCAAAGGGGGTCATGGGGACCCTCCTCCTGCATGCACACACTTTGTCTTAATCCTCCCTAACGTGTTTGGAAGGCATGTGAAAACAGAAAGCCAACTTCTGGCTGCGGGGAGCACACGATACATCTGCACTCTGACGCTGCCAAGACTCACCCAGAGTGACTGCTCCTTATTTTATTAATGGCTGTATAATAAATCGTTGCAAACACAAACTTTGCCATGGAAACACTGGCACAGCCTGCACACAAAAGTGGAGCCAGTGGGTGCTACTGGAGTGTAGGGAATGCACATCTCCCCAGGCCAGCACGGCACCCCGACAGAGTGAACTTAGTGCCTTCCCAAAGTCCCTCCACGTCCCTCCTGCAAATTGTGGATCTTCATCCCGCACTCCCAAGAGCTTAACGGGAATGACTTATGTTCCCAGCTGACTTCACAGGATCCACAGCTCTTCAGAGCTATAGCTATAGCTTGAGCAGGGATGGAGAGAGAGGGAGGTGTAAGCTGCTCCCCTCCAGTCCTTTAACACTGCAGAGTTTTCCCCACCATGGGCACCAGTTTGGCTGGAGGAAGGGGTACTGCTCATCACTGAAGAGCTTGCTGCTCTTTTAATACTGAGAGTCTGGAATACACAAACTCCTTATTCAAAGAGGAAAAAAAATGTAAATATATGGGAGAGGAACAGAGACACAAAACCACAGAGAGAGGCTGTGGGCAGAGCCAAGAACTGTAACTGGAGCTCAGGCAGAAACTGCACATGGGAAGCAGCAGGAGCTGCTGATATCCCCAGGCTGTTGCAATCACAGGCAATCGGTTGCTTGGCACATTCCCTCATGGTCCACGGGATTTGGGAACGCTGTAGCCACGATGGCCTGGCAGCTGGTGCACACGTGTGTCCCAGATCTGTGCTCCTCCAGAGCTACCTGAGGTGCCCAAGCACATTTGCCATCCCCACTGCAGCTGGCTCCCAGGGTTCCTGGAAATCGGGCCTGCCATTTCTCAGGCATGCCAAGCCTGGGGGCACCCATTCCTGGAAAAAGCTGGCCTGAGCCCCACGCACAGGCCCCGCTGGGGATGTAACGGTGGGAACAGTTCCCACAGCTCAGCCTCCCTCGCTCCCAACGCCATCCCAGTTTAACCCACACACCCCAGCCCCACTCACGTTCTGGTCCATGGTCTCGGGGATGAACTCGCCCTCGCTGTTGATGCTGGTGTAGGATCCTTGGCGGGCGATCTGCTGCTGCTCCTCAGGAACACTGCCCGGGGGCGGAGAGCTCCGGCCAGTGTGCAGAGAGCCTGGGACACGGGAAAGGCGCAGGTCAAAGGGGGGACCTGCCAACCAAGTCCTTCCAGCGATCACAGACCTCCTGGAGATGCTGCTGGGTTTGAGCTTGTGTGGATGGGAATGGAGGATCTAGAGGTGTGATACTGTTTATGGGCATCCTGCAAAGCGTTTGCAACACGGAGAGTTTGTTGCTACGGGGCCACACAACATGTAGCAGACTTGACTTCAACCCACCCTGGATGCTAAGAGCTGTGCACTGTATCCAGGTGTGCTGCTGATGCCAGAAAGGAAAGGGCTCCAGAGTTTTGTTGTGATACAATCACTCAATCTCAGAGCAAACCACAAACTCCAAACCCACCTCCCCTCTTTGACCTCTGGGCCATTTCCTCCCTGGAGCACGTCACTGCCTTGTTCAGCAATCTGGGAAACAGCCCAGGTGAACTGAGTGCAACATCCCTTCAACACTTCTTATACGGAAAACGATTTGTGCTCAAACACCCTTCTCTACCCTTTCCCAACATGAAATTAAAGATGAAGGAAAACCAGCTTCCATTTTGCACCTGGGAGAGAACTCTGCAGCTTGCTTACGTAGATGACCCATTCCTCCCCCTTATTCCCCAGATCCACTCTAACTGATTCCTTGTGCCTTTTTAGGTTTTAGGCCTTGTTGCCCTTGCTTGGCCCAGATGCACAGGCCTGGCTCCACTTTCTCTCTGTGGTTACTCCCCTCCATCCCTGCTCTGTCATCACCTCATGGCAAGGAATTGCTGACGGAGATCCGTGCTGCTCCGTGCTGGAGCCTTAGTTGGTCGGCATTGTGCAACATGAGCTTTCAAACAACACAACAACTTGTTTTTAAGCAGACTTCTAAAAAGCACACATCCTTGAGGAGTTAGGAGTCACATGGAGATGTGTTTCCTTACACTTCATATCCATTTTTGTGGTGCTCTTGCCAAATCTTTGGTTCGTTGCTACCATTTGGTAACAACATGTCCAGGCTAAGCACAAGAGAAAGGTGCTGGGAAGGGGCTTATCCCATCACGAAAAGTCAACACTGATCAATCAACACAACTTCTCCCTCTTCAGCTGCTATTCTGCATCACAGTTACTGTGCCAGGTGGATCTCTGGCACGAATCCATCAGCGTGATCAACACCACAAATCCGAGTCCCCACCTTTTACTTATGCAGATACACATCAGGAGCTGCTAATGTTAACATTGTCACACAAGCACTAAAGATCACTAAATCAGGCTTGCTGGATTTATACCAGACACACAGATATTTCTGTCCCATGATACATCTTCCTTCAGACTCCTTCTCAGATTGTAAAAATGAAAATCATATGGCTTTGAGTTACTTTTTTTTCTTCTTCCTATTTTCTCCTTCAGAGATTTCCTGCAGGATAAGAACACAGCGAAAAAACTCCAACTGAAGTAACGCCAAGATCAAGGGGAGAGAATCTCTCAAGCGCTGCAGTGCTCATAAGGAACTGGCTTTCCACCAGCCCTAAAAACAAAACCAGTTGGGAAGTACGGCATCCTCTCTTGGAAGATAAATAAACAAACGTTTAACCATTGAACAGTTCGGGCACCCTGGATAAATCACTGCATCAGCATCCCCTCCTTTGCTTGGCAGATGCCAATCTGGAATGCAGCATAAGGACTTTTTTGGGTGGCTCTTGCTCCAAAAAGCTGCCAGAGGATTTGGCACGGTGTAACAGCTTCATCTTAGCTCTGCTGAGCATTTCTGTTACTGCTGTGACATGTGGGGGTCTGCTGTTGGGTTCTCTTGCTCCGATAACTCATTTACTGCCCAGAAAGTCTTTGGTATTACAAAGAGCTGTACAAGGCCTGTTTGATTTTGAACCCAGGCAGTTAAATGAGATTTATCACAAGCGCAAGGGCTTTGCATGATCTCACATTAAGCCTTAGCCTGGAACAACTACTCCCAGCCATAGGTTAGTTGTGTTCGACCTTCCAGAGTCACATTTCCTGCCAAAAAACTTTAAAAGGGGATAAGACACCAGCTATTTCCCAGCAGGTGAGGAAGCTAAACAAAATGCTTAGGCTTTTGCATGCCTGGAAACTGCTGGATTGAACCAGAGCCCTTTCAGCCAGGCTGTTTGGGCAGAAGTGCTGCCCAAAGTAATTTATGCAGCTTCACACCTCCAGGAGCACTGGCTGCTGCTGCTTTGCATCCAGGCATGCCCATCCACTTTGGAGGAACACAGCAGGTGGTGGGAGCAGAGCCCCAGAGCTTAAGGTTGATTCCCTGTTCCAGCCCTATCCTGTCCTGTTAAAAAAACCTCATGCAATGCCAGTGCTGCTGGTGGAGTGAGGAAATGGAAAATAGGGGTCAGGCAGAGAGAGAGAGAGAGAGAGAGAGTGTAACAGTGGTACTCAGTGGGAGACTTAATTCATAGTGGGGGCAACACTAGGCTGATTGGATATACTGGATAATGCTGCTTTACCCACCCTGAGGCAGAGGAAGAAACAGACACAAGCCCAGACGTGCCTGTTTGACACATCATGGATGCTCTTCACACTTGACCTGACACTCAAGAAACAGCAGCAGCACCAGGCAGAGAGAGGAGGCCCCCAGGGGATTGTCCTGGGATGTACAGGATCACATGGCAGCTCCACTGGGAATGGGGCAGGCTGTGAGGCACTTCTTTATAGGCCCATTGCTGGTCAGATCTCAGCAGCTCTGTTTAGGATTCCTGAACTCAGGGAAACTCTGCAGATTGGCACTGCTTGAGTATCTGACCTCAGTTACCCTTTGGAGCAAGGTGCTCTGGGCAGGGATTCCTGCTCCACATGTTACACACACTAATGTAAAGCCATATATTTGAGACTAGAGCACAGCATGTCCCGAGGAGGGAGAACCAGGACAGCACGGAGACTCACAGTCACTGCTGGCACCCACTGGGGTCTTTCATGTTCCCTTCTGTTATTTTTATTTAATAAGTGCCTTTCATGCAGTGTGTGCAGAGCTCGTGGTGCTGCACGTACAGCCAGTTCCCCCGTGCCAGGCTTGGCTTACCTCCGCCTCCGCATTCCCTGGCTTCATCCTTCCCCTGCTCTTCCCAAAACTTCATCCATTACTGATCAGCATCAAGAAGGGAAGAGAAGCCCCTTAAAAGTCAGGGCTGGGGAGGGTTTGCTGGCAGCTGCCTGAGCTCACAGCTGCAGCCAGGGAGAGCCCAGCCCTGGATGACGTTGTCGTGGAGCCAGACGAGGGACATGACGTCAAGATGTGCCGGTGTTCCTCTGAGCCCTGGCAGAAACTCAGGGATCAAGAGGAAGAGAGAAACCTGCAAGACACTTCTCACTCTCAGACTGTCAAGGGGAAGTGTGAGCAGGTGGACCAAATCTCCTTCATTTCTTCTTTTTCAGTGGGACCCCTACAAGTCCCGTCCTCTCTACGCTGATCCTCTGGGGATGAATTACTGTACCCTGATGTAAGGCAAATTTAGGGCACTTCTATACTAATAAGCAGGACAGAGCCTATTTTCTAGCCCTAAAGCAGCTGGCATGATGTACACAGCTAAATTTTCCACCTCTTCTCAAAGTGAGGTCTCATCCATCCCAGTTCCTGCAACGCTCCCGGTCTGGAGAGGGCTGGCAGGCACACAATGCCACAGCTCAGCAGCCTGGTTTGCCACCATGGAAAACCACAGAAAAAAAAAAGAAAAAAAATAAAGCTTCTGGCAAAGGTTTCCACTGGAATGGCGGTTCTGGAATGGGGCTCCTAAATAATTTGTGAATAATGTTCTGAAACACGTAGTTCCTCGAAGTAAATAAAAACAACCCTCAGTTATCTCAAAATAGAGAACTCAGAAGGATTTTAGTCCAAGTTTCCCTGCACTTGGACGAACATTTGCAGATGCTGGTCACCAAAAGACTGGAAGGTTTTTCCACTGAAAAGGTTTATGCGGAAAAAAATAAAAAGAAAATACTGACTTTGCATAAGGTTTTTCAGGGACATGGAGTGAAGACATTTTCTGTCCAGCAGAAGCAAAAATAGCCAAATCTCCCCCAGAACATCTACATCCCTTCCAACACGCTTGTGCCAATAACATAGAGTTTTATTATTTTTTGCTGCTGTTTACATGGCAGAGTCAGCAGAAAAACATGAGACATCTCAGAAACACGAAGAATATGACCCTGAACTACCTTTTATTATAAAGCCAGTTTGAATCTCCCTTTAAATGTTGTTTCAAGAGAAAAGCTGAACTGAGTTAAGATCGTCTCTTGATAGCAACCACTTTGATGACAGCAGAAGGAAAACACTGTGAAATACCTTGCAACTGCAAGTGAAGAATAGTTTCTCCTAAAGAATTCCCAGCCTCTTAGGCTGTCTTTTGACAATCCACCAAGTTCAGTGAAATCCCTGTTTCAGGAAAACAAAACACAGGATCACATTTGTCTGTCTATTCCCTGAATTCAGTTTAATGCTCCATTTGAAACACTGCTCTCCCTTTCAGCTCACTGGAGTTCCTACCCAGCTGCTGGATTACCCAGGTCTGACTCAGGAGGTCAAAAATTGCATCTGCTGGATTGTGAACACCTCCTAAACAGAGCTGCAGCAGCTTCATACAGACCCCAGACAACTCCAAAGAGAAGAGTAACCCTCTGTTATCATGCAGAGGGTTTGCTGCAACCTCTTTGCAAACTAACAGCAAGATTGATGGTTTACATGGAAAAAAAAACAGAGGGATGACTGTAACATGGGCTGGTTACCTTTGCTTCCTGACTATGTAACAGTGCTGAGGACACTGGTGCATTAGCAACTGGCCTGGAGAGCCTCCTGAAGATTCCAACATTAACACACTCTGTGTCCTACATTTAGTGCTGCCCAGTCCTCCTCCTCTGTTAGATTAAACCAGGACATGTTATGCCCATTCCTCCACTCTGCTATTCAGGCATTCTCTCAAAACCCATCTGTACCTCAGGCTCTCCCCCTTGCAGAACTGACATCTCATCCTTTGTCTGCCTTGTCTGAGCTCAGGATGTTCTCAAAGGCAGTGACATCTCACAGTCAGTGGTGCAGAGCTGGTTGGTGACTCTCCTGGTACTACAGCAGCTCCAAAACAGTAAGCAAAGGCCAAAAAATGGCACAAAAGTTAGCAGGAAAGTCTCAACTTTGCAAGAACTCATCTTCTCCCTAGCACAGCTACACGTGGAATCAATTCTGCCCATCACGCTTGGCTCACACATCAGTGACAGCTCCCAGTGCCACAGCTCTCCACTGGCTTACATTAACAGCTTAACAAGTGCCCAAAAAAAAAGAGCAGCAGAGATGTTTTGCTCAAGCACAGTTTCTGCTGAGGCTCTGTGCCTTACCATGTATTTGTGTGTGCATTTCACTCAGGGTCATCTAAGTGACTCTGCCAGACTCTGGGCAAACTCTCAAGAGCCATGTGAGCTAGGAAAAAAAACCCCAACAATAGAAAAAGACAACCCTGGTACATCCAAACATGAGGCCCAAAGAGAGCTCTTGTACATGTACCACCCACCCTTGGCTTCAGTAAGAGCTGGGCATGGCTGCACAAGGGGTATGTTGGACCTACCCTGGAAGAACATTTCCTATATATCATTGTCTGAGATGCAGCAAACCACAGGATATGTTATCAAGGCAGCACAGGCTATGAAAAAGAGAAAGGGCAAATCCTTGGAGAAAAACACTCTTTTGTTGCACAGAGAAAAGAGTTTGGAAGCATTTACTGCCATATAAATACAGAGGATCTTTGGAGGGTGAAGTATTTCTTCATGTACACTTGTATAGGAGGCCCCACTTTATCCAAGGCTATAATTTCTACAATTGCTGAATAACTGCATGAAAACAATAAGGATCTGTAGAAATTTCCCTGCAACCTGCATCCACAGATATGGTAGAGAACATTCACTGTGTGAAAAAAATAATTAATCCTGCCTATAGGTTGTAATATGAATAAATATACCCCTGCTACACAGTTCTGCATGCTGCTTTACCAGTTCTGCACAGGGCACCCTGCTCTCCACAAAATCCTCCAAGGTTCTTCACACAAAGCTCCCATAGCCAACTGATCAACAGGACTTGTCATTTAAACAAGCTCAGAGTATTTCAGAAAGCAAGAAGAGCATAAACTCAAGCACAGAAAACCAAAGAAAGCATCACACGAGACCACGAACAAAATCTACTCCCTGCAGGGCTGCAAGAAGAGACCAGGCATTTGTTGCCAGCCTGGCTTCAGGGGCTGCAGGTACCTACTCCCAGCACCTCTGAAGGAAAGGGATGCTCCCTTTCCTCTGGAATGTGACCACCACAACACACTGCACACATCCTTTCTCCTGAGACAACAAAACCAGCTACCACAGACGTCATTTCACCAACAAGAACACAGTGGTGGCATGGGGGACACACATTTGGTCCTTTTGGACATGCTGAAGCTGGTCCCAGCCCAGGAGCCAAGGAGCCCGAACCCATTAAGACATATGACTCTGCCAGCTGGGAAAGGGGGAGATAACGCCAAGAGAATGACAGCCCGTGGTTAAAGGAATAACTATGTCAAGGTCCCAAACGTCCTTAGCTTTCTGTAGATTCTCTCTCTTCGTTTTGATAAAGCTCAGTGGCATCAAATTCACTGGAAATTTTTATCCCTGCATTTCCCCCCGCCAAATCACACCCTAGGTCCCCTGTTCTCCTCACTTTTGTGCCCAGTGTGACTCTGCTCAGCACAACCTGTGCAGCTTGCAGTGTCCTACTCAGGCTGAGGATGAGCAGCAACTGCACTGAGTCACTGGTGGGGGACATCAGGGTGGCCATCCAGACTGTGACACCCACAGGGTTGTGACAAAAAGGAGAAAGGGGGTGGTGGTCAGTAACAGCACAACACACCCTGCATAGCACTGCGTTTCACCCACCTGTTGAGTATTTGCGCGTCCTCTCAGAGTCCTTGTACAGGGATCCCATGATATCACCCATGGACCTGGAGATCCTCATTTCATGCTGTTTGCTGTTGTTTGGCTGGAGGAGCTGGTAATCAGACAAAGGGAATGATCAGACTTGGCCAGAGCCCTGTGGACACACCATGTGAAACCCTCTGTTTGGTTCCCCGTGACCCTATTACCCAAGAACTATTGAAAAAAAAAAAGAAAGAAGACACACACGTAATCTGGAGTGATCCAAAAACCATTCACAAACAATTCACATCTGTTTGTAAAAGTCTAGTAAGATTAAGCTCCAATAGATAATGGTAAATGCAGATATCTGACATAAAAGACAGTTCCTGCACTGCGTTATCTCCAGAAAGATACAGAGACTGATCCCTGGCCTGAAAACACTTGGGACCCCAAAATCAGAACCTCTCCTCCATGCTCCCTAGACTCCAGTGGCAGCCTCAGCACTGCAGGAGGTTCCTCTGTAACAGGGCAGAGGAACAGAGAGTGGAGGGTCAGGCTCTACCAGGGAAGACAGACAAGGGAAGAGCAAAGAAATGCATATCCAGATGGTAACTTAAATGGTAGAGGCCAAGTCTTACTGACATAACATGCTACAGGATGCTGTGATTTTGTGGTAGTTTCATGTATGACCTCGGAACGTGTGTTCCTACACACAGGAGCTTCAGGAAGAGATGGACCTACTCTCAAAGGATGCAGGAATCTACCTGGCTTCTCTGCTGTTAGAAGCTGCCTTGCAATACTGCTGTGTTCCCACAATTGCCAGGGCAGATTGCCTCATTTCCACCCAGGATTTAGGAAACCCCAACTGATGGCTCAGTTTTCCCCTGGGGAGCTGGTCCCTGCACTTTCCAAGCCTCTCAAAAGGAGTGGAGAAGTTCCAGGGGCTGTGAGCACCAGTGGTAGCATGAGGACAAGCACTGTGAGTTTCAAGACTCCCAGTCTCTCCAGCACTTCTAGGAAATATAAGAAGAAACAGAGTTGCAACATCTAAAAATCCCTTGCTTTACAGCCTGTGCTTGGGGCAGCACGACATGTGCTTTGGCAAGACACTCTGTGCAGGCGAGGTCAAGCTAAAAGGATTAACTGCAAAACCACTGAGCTCAGGAAAAACTAATAAATAAATAAAGATGAAGGAAAAAAACAAAGACAGCTTTGCATGAGACTGAAGCATTCTCCAGTTTGCTCTTCCCAGCCTCTAGTACTGCAGCAGCACGTGGAGGGAACAGTCCCCACACTGCCACCCAGCACAGCAATGGCCAGGGCACCACCTTGAACACAGAGAAGTGACAAAGGAATGGTGGCAGCATCCCCAGATGGAAAGCAGAAGGGGTTCTGTCACAGTTTAACCTTATTTGAGGATCAGCCTGATATTTAACCCTTCATGGGACACCAGAGCAGCCAAAGGGAGCTGAGCTCAGCCTCTGGGCTACTATGACAGGAGTATTTCCGAGCTGCGGAGCCAGAGCAGGGCTGACCCCTCTCATGACCAGCTTGCCCTCTGCTCTTCACCGCCAGGAGACTCTTTTCCACTCCCCAACACAATAACAAGGCATCTCACTCCGGACACAAAAGAGCAGAGAAGGTGAAGGGCTCACATTCGCTTTCTTTGGAGCGCTCACAAGGATCCGCAGGCTCTTCAGGGAAGGGCTCAGCTCCAACTGTTCCAGCGCTTTGTCCAAATCTTCTTGGGATTTCAGCGGGATCAGGAGCTGGAAGGGATTAAACAAACACCGGGGAATGGCAATGTCACACTTTTGGGTAAACAGAGGAAGCCAGATTCTTACAGTGAGCAGCCTGGGAATAGGGGGATGAGGGAGGAACCCAAGAAGGCGATGGAAAACGGAGCCCCCATGCCCTGCAGCTTGCCGAGCTCTTAACATTTTCTTCCAAGTTCTCATCTACCCAGGAACAGACGCAAAAAATCACAACAAACAACATCTGCAGGGAGAAAGCTTAAAGGTCACATCAGCAATCCAGCCAGTGAGAAGAGGAGAGGGCTGGGATGAAACCTCAGGCTCGCTGCCTGCTACTCTGGGGCTGCTCTGATCTTGGAGTCTGTAGGAAAGACCTGCTGTTACTCAGCCCCAAAACAACCCCACACATTCTTCCCGTGTTTCTTCCTGGGAAGATAGTCATACAATGGTGCTTCAAGAAATCAGTGAGCTGCACCCAAGGATTTACTTGGTAGATGCTCCTTGCCCTTCCCTGCTGCTGCAATCTGTGCTCCTGCACACTGACAGAGCCTCCCTAATGTCTGCCCACCAAGTAAAATCAGGGAACATCCCACAAATAAGAGCCTCTTCCCTTTTGATGTGAAAAGTGTGCATTGCTCTCCATCCAAGAACCACTTCTTCCACTCCCAGCAGGACAAATTCGGCTTCTGCTCCTCATAAGGTAAATAGACCAGAGAACTACACAGTGCCATGTCTATCAGGCAGCTGAAGGTCCTGATGTTTTCCTGGTAAATGGCCGACTATTGCCCTCATATCTCCACAGGGAATTTGACCCTCCCAACATTGCTGTGTGGTGTACCATGTCCTGCAGACAGTCTGCAAAGCTTCCAATGCCCAACAGCTGCACTTCAGAGGAGCTCTGTGGCCTTCTGCTGCCCTGGGCTAAGATTAAAAGCACAACTTCTTGCCCCTCATTCAGGAATATTCTGCCTAATCTCATAACAAACAGGACTCAGCCCCTGCAGGTTGCCTCAGGCACTGGCACTGGATCCAGGCAACACAGCACATGTTACACTCATGGCTGTGCCAAAGTACACAGTAATTCCACTGACCAAAGGGACCGAGCAGCCACAGCTCCCAGTAGGCCCTCACTGGTCTCACTGGGAGCCACAGCTTCCCAGAACTCCTGAAAGGCAGCTCAGCCCTCTGTGTGATGAGGGTTCATGCCACCAGCCACAGCAAACACACCTCAGGGCAGCTGCCACAGGAGACGACTCATAAGCCAACTGTGACAACCTTTTTGATCCCAGGGTGTTGCCAAGGGTTTGGCTGTTGGCCATAGGCAAATACACCTCAGACTGTGTGCTCTGAGGTGAGGACTTCAGGGGTGACCAGGTCAAGGGAAAGTTGTGGCCCCTGGCCAGCAGAGATGAGGTTTCACCTCAGGAAACTGCTACAGTCACTTCTTCCACCCAAGGACTGCAGCCGGAGCCTGCCAAGCTCCACCTTAGGTGTCTGTGTGGCAGCTGTTTCTACCCTGTGAGCACCTTAATGTTTGGATTGGGTTTCTCCTCTCCTGTCTTATAGGAAGATTATCTTCCATCTCTGTTTTGTAGGTAGAGAACTGAGCCATATGAGGGCCACCTACTTCATGATGAACAGCAGGCTTAACATCATCGTCATGGAATCATTTAGGTTGGAAAAGACCTCTAAGATCAACGAGTCCAACTGTCAACCCAACATTGCCAAATCCATCAATAAACCATGTCCCTACATGGCACATTTACATGCCTTTTGAATACCTCCAGAGACAGTAACTCCACCATTTCTCTGGGCAGCCTGTTCCATTGCTTGATAACTCTTTTGGTGAAGAAATTTTCCCTAATATCCAATCTAAAGCTCCTCTGGTGCAACTTGAGGCAATTGCTCTGTGAAGAAGGACCTGGGGGTCCTGGTGGACAACAAGCTATCCCTGAGCCAGCTGTGTGTCCTGGGGGCAAGGAGGACAATGGTATCCTGGGATGCATCAGGAAAAGCATTGCCAGCAGGCTGAGGGAGGTGATCCTGCCCCTCCACTCAGACCTGGTGAGGCCACATCTGGAGTGCTGTGCCTAGTTCTGGGCTCCTCAGCACAAGAGAGACATGGAGCTCCAGGAGCAGGTTCAGCAGAGGCTACAAGGTTGATCAGTGCTCAGTGGAGCATCTCTCTTATGAGGAAAGGATGAAAGAACTGGGCCTGTTCAGCCTCGAGATGAGGTGACTGAGAGGGGACCTCATCACTGTCTGTCAGTGTCTGCAGGGAGGGGTCAGAGGACGGACCAGGCTCTTGTCGGTGGTGCCCAGCAGTAGGACAAGTGGAAATGGGTAGAAACTGATGCACAGGAAGTTCCACCTGAATATAAGGAAGAACTTCTTCACTGTGCAGTGATCACACACTGGAACAGATTGTCCAGAGGGGGTGTGGAGTCTCCCTCACTGGAAATATTCCAGAACCATCTGGACACAATCTTGTGCCCTGTGCTCTGGGATGACCCTACTCGAGCAGGAAGGCTGGACCAGATGACCCACTGTGGTCCCTTCCAATCTGACCCATTCTGGGATTCTGTGATTTCTTCTCATCCTGTCACCTGTTACCTGGGAGAAAATACCATGGTTCACGGTTACATTTTGGGATCTGAATGAACAGCCCGTGTTCGCAGCAGATACCAGACAAAGATGGTATTGAATATTTCTCCCAAATGCAGTGCTCACTCTGCTCCCTTAGGCAGCAGAGGTGAAGAGATATTCTCCTGGGGCACTGCCTGACCCTCTTGAAGTTCACAAAGGCTCCACAGCAAGGCTCTGCATCAAGCAGACAAGGCTTCTCTCCTACACTCACCCAAACAGAAATGAGGATGGTGGAGAGCTGCCCTCCCTCGTTTTACCACCAGGCAGAATTTGACTCTGAACTCTAAGTACAGTCCCACTGCTTACACATCCCTTTACTGAGCTCCTCACAAGTGCTCAGAGCAACCCCTCAGTGCTGAACAGAATGTTCTGCAGGTCACTCCATCTCACTCAACTATCACAACATGAACAAGTTTGTGTGCCTGCTTCAGAGGAGCCAAAAACAACAGGCAGAAATTGCCCTCTTGTAAAAGGGACTGGAGCCAGTATTTAGCTTAGATTTACCTATTACCCATAGCCTGGCAAGCAGATTTCACTCCATTTGGCTTCCAGACTGTGGCACATATGGATATCGGGAACAGGTATCTGCTAGGCATGAAACTCAATACAGACTCATGCAGAACCATGGTAGTAATTGCCAGGGTGTATTTGCAGTAATTGGGTTCATTTGATCTAAAGAGAGAGCAGCTGTGACGAACAGCAAAGTTTACCTACACAGAAGTTTCACTAAATAGAGCTTTTGTCTTGCTTTTAAATAGCACCTTCCCCTGGAGCCTGATGTTTAGTGTTTAGGGACTTGGTAGTCACAGTAGGTTAAGAAAGTGAGTGCAAAGGGTGAGTTTTCACCGACTGCAACAGCATTGCCAGACCTCACTCTGCAAGACACCGCAGAAAGCCAAAGAATAGTAGGAAACGGGGTTGGGGAAAAATCTGGGAGGTCAATTAGTTCATCTTCCTGCCCAATGCAGCACCAACTGGCATCAACAATTCTCGACAAATGTTTGTTAAATATGCTTTTATCTCCTCCCCCACCGTAATGGAGCCTCTACCACTTCCCCAGTCTTTAACTCTCCCTAAACTAACTGGTGCTGAGGGACAAGCCTCAGAGGAGACAAGCACGGGGAGGTCAGAAGGGAACTGGTGGACAAAGTCACATCGCAAGTTGGTCATGGAGACAAACAAGGTAACACCTAGTCACACCTGGAGCAGCTATTTAGCAGTGCACAGAGATCAAATTCAGACAGAGAATTTGCCACAGAACCCAGCACTGCCAACTCCACCACTAAACCGTGTCCCCATGTGCCCCATCTACACGCCTTTTAAATCCCTCCAGGGGTGATGACTCCACCACTGCCCTGGGCAGCCTGTTCTGGTCCTTGACCACCTTTTCAGTGAAGAAATTTTTCCTAATATCCAATTCAAACCTCCCATGGTGCAACTTGAGGCTGTTTCATCCTGTCCCTTGTTACCTGAGAGAAAAGACTGACCCCCACCTGGCTCCACCCTCCTTTCAGGGAGTTGTAGAGAGTGATAAGGTTCCCCCCGAGCCTCCTTTTCTCCAGGCTAAACACCTCCAGCTCCCTCAGCTGCTCCTCATCAGACTTGCGCTCCAGACCCTTCCCCAGCTCCATTGCCTTTCTCTGGACATGCTCCAGCATCCCAATGTCCTTCCTGTACTGAGGGGCCCAAAATGTCCCACCAAGAAAGCCAAGTTCATGAAGCTGTGGGATGCAGGTGGAAAGCAGGTGGTCCTGAGATTATGGCCTACCTTAGACACCCAACTTCAAGATACTAAAAGCCAGGTCTGTAAAGGGGCACCACAATAGCTAAGTTTAGTGCATCCTGCTATCCTGTGGATTTTACAGTCCCAAATCAGATACCCAGGACCTTTACAGCTTGAATGAGAGCATTAGAGCCTTTCAATCCATAACACAGCCAGCTGTCCAACAAACACCACGCCACGCTGTCCATGGCCAGGACAGGTTTTGCCCTCCTGCACCTCAGAAAGATGATCCAAGCCTAGAACTAACAGGCAGACATGCCCATGTGGTACACCCATGGCCAGGCCCTGCTCTTATCTACACCAGCCTGAGCCTGCTGATTCCATGGTCCCACCAGGATGTGATTCATGTGTGCCCCTGCTCCACCCAGCTGGCATGCTCATCCCACTGATCTTGGCTTCAGGACTCCTCCTCCACCAGGATAGGGACTGCCAGTCAGTGAGATTTTGCAGGGGCATGTTCATCTTAAGTGTAATTTTGGTCTACAAGGTGCTACTGCAAGAGAGATGTCTGATGGCAACAAAGAATTACTGCACAAGTGCTTTGAGCATAAAGAAAGGCTGAAACATTTAACTGTAATGAGTCTGTGGTCAAGCTACCCCTGAGACTTGCAGTCATGACAGAACCAGAAAACCTGACCCAGAAGATGTTAAAAGCCAGATGCTGGGGTGTCAGCATGTGGACATGAGCTATTTCCCCACAGATCACTCTTGTCTGTTTATAGTGTTTCCATGACAACAACCCTGAATTACTACTTCTTAGACATCTTCCCAAAGCTGTGGGTTCTCACAAGGAGGAATTTTTATATACAGAAAAACAAAGCACTGAAAATCATCCATAACCCTCAGAAGTCAGGAGTACCCAAAGGCCTGCTCGTGGTCCTGCTATGTGCCTGTGCACATGCCCAGAAAGATGGTCTCCAACATGGGATAAAATGCATTATTTAAGCTTCTGTTTGCTGTTGTTGGAAAGAAATCCTCTTCCAGTGGAAAGAAACCTGGAATGAAATGAGTCATTCCTGGAGAATTCAATGGCAGGCTTTTCCCGGGAGGGCTGTCAAAGAATGCCCAAGATTAGAAACCTGACTGCCTTCAAAGTGAAAACCCAGTGGACATTCTGGTATCATGAGGTAGCTATTATAAAGGGAAAGGAACTTTTTTTTGTGGATCAAATCTCTATTGAAACAGAAGCGAGAAAAAAAGAAAGGGGTAAAAAAAAAAAAAAAGAAGAAAGCTCTCTTCATAACCTCTCTCTCTATTCATACTTTGATGAAAGGCTGTAGGTCATTTACAATTAATACTTGAACAAGCAAGCTTTCAGGACAGATCCAAAAGGATTTGCGTTTAAAAGCCCACCTCTTTGTCATCTGGCCTTCTCCTCCTCCCCAAAGCCAAACCCACCTTGAGAGTCCAGCAGCTCCAGATGCCTGCCAAGATGCCTCTTATGGCAAGATGCCTCAAGAAAACACTGAGCACACCAAAACAGATACCAAGGATTTCCTCCTTCTAGGTAACAGCCCTCAGCAATACCCTCCTTTCACACACTGCTGGGCTCAAAGAAAAACTGGAAAAACACAGTGGCCTCTGTTATTGAAGAAGGATGGAGGAGAAAGGTCTTCAAGCCTTAAAATGCAAGGATTGCAGAGGGAGAGTTTCTTGCTCTTATGTGGCCACAGGACCTGCTAGAGGAATGTTCAGTGATGCACGTTTCACTGCAGCCCCAACCACAAGAACATCCACTTCATTCAGGGGTTTTGGGTGAAACAAAGTCAGTGCTAGATAAAAGTACACTGTGTGAGCAGCACTGTCCCTCTGCTCTGGACTGCACACGCCTGCAGTCGCCCACAAGATGGGAAGGCTTCACATCCCTCTTTGAGTGAGGGGAATCTTCTGTTCTGGGGAGAAGACAATGTTCCAGTGTGATAATTTAATAGGCCTTACTTGAAATAGGCCTCACTTTGAGAGTGGAAAAGCCTGGCTTGGAGTCTAGGAATCCATCTGAGCCGTGGCCACTCAACAGCTCTTGTATGCTCACTAGCTGGGAACCAGAAAACAAGGTTATTTTTGTTCACATGCAAGTGCAACACAACATTAGGGCCTTCGAAACAAGCCACTGCTCACTTCTGAAGTTGGCACCAGGCACCCTAAACCTGCCCCATAGGAGAAGGGAGAAGATTACCTCATTGTTCACACAGACTAAGTCCATTGTCTGTCCAAAAGCATCCGTGACCTTCTGCACCACTTCTTTGAATTTGACTGGTCTTGGAAACTGGATAATCCTGTATATGCAAACAAATACAACAACAGTCACAATTTAGTAGAAGCATACTGAAATTTGGGATTCGACTGACAATTCAGAAGAAAGGACCTGTGTTCTATCATGAAGCATAAACCCTGGTCCTTGCTTCTACACTCACAGAAATTATGCTCATCTGCAGTGCCCAAGAGGGGACTGGACCTACCCTGCAAGAACATCTCCCAGAAATCCTAGTGCAGCTCCTCTCCTCCCTCTAATGTGAGGCATAGGTGGAAAAGAAGTCCAGCAGCCCTTCACTGGCAAAATCCCAGATCAGGCGCTGGTCAGTGATATTTATCATCTCCATTTTCAGCAAGGGGCTCTGAACAGGAAGGAGGGATGGAAGTGGGAATGATGCAGTTTTGGCATCCTGTGACTGTCCTGTACCACCACATGCAGCAGTTCTAAAGGTATGTATGTACAGCAGGTACAGTCTATCCCTACAGCAATTTCAATTTTCTTTGGCTCTAACATGCAGCTTGGACCATCAGCCTGTGTCCTGCCCTGTCACAGTCACCAAGCACCAAGCAGAGGTGATTCCATGAAAATGTCAAGCAGGGAAGGGCGGACAAGCTTTAACTCCCAGCCCTATTTTTATGGGACCCATGCCCAAAATCTGGTTATCTTAAGTAAGTGTCATAGACTGCTAATCAAAGAACACATTTCTGCAGAGTTCCAGCCCTGCTGTGGTTCAGCAGGGCTCAAGAATTAAAAAGAGAAAAGGATCCAAGTGTGCACCCTATGTCCCTTGTAAAAGAGGCATTTAATGACTTCCAGCTTGGAAGCACTTCTCCTGCGTGCAAATCCCAGGAGCTACTTGTGGGAAATGGGATAATGAGGCAAGGCTCTTGCACATAAAACTGTAGCCGATTTTAGGGGAGTGAATCCTGATGTGAGCTCATCTGCAGCTGGCTGAAGTCAGCAAGATGATGTTGGGTAAAAAAGGTAATTTGTCTCCGTACATGTGGGGCACTGGGTTGGGTACCTACCTTTTCTCTCCTTCATATTCAAACTTGATCCTGACATTTCGCTGCTGAAACAAAAAGCAGAAAATGGTGAGGTCTCAAACTGCAGCCCAGACTGACACACAGATCCAAAGCTCTCAATGAGACTCCCCTAACTCCAATAGGCATCTGGTTTATTTAGGGCTAAGCTGCCTGTTGGACTCACGGACTTTGGGGACACTCCACGTTGCTGATAAATGTGCTTGTCAAAACATAAGGTCTTCTGTAAACAAGAAGACACTCACCTGTATAACTGTTAGTTTTAATAAAATGCTTTCATAAAGTGGAAAATTGTGAGTGCTCTGAACTCATTTGGGAACAAGGCACTACTATCAAAGAGGCCAACATGTCAAGTGTTTGATGTCTGTCCATCTTCAGCATTTCCCATGGTTTCACCCCAGTACTTTTCCATTGGAAATCCAAAAAGCAGAGCTCAGAGGGATGTTTACTAGAACACAGGAATATTTGAGGCAAAGACTTAAGAAGTAAAAGCAAGCATCCCATAATGGAAGTGGAGAGACAGCTTTGGATTTTAAAAGCCAGCAGTGCCAGGATGGTTGTAGGGGTGGCTGTTATTTTGTTAGGACCTACAAAATGCAAAGTGTATCAGGCCCACTACACTGTACACAGTAAATGCTCACCCTGAAATGCTCATCCCAAGAGAAAACACTAAATTTGCCCAAAGAAAAGCCAGTGAAGTCACAGGCAGACTGGACACACAGCTGTGCAGGGAATAGTAAAAGCTACTTCTCTCATCCTCTATTTGTGCATATTTAGCAGCAGTTGAGACCACAACGAGCCTTTTCATTCATTCAGCTTCTCAGACCAGGCCTAAGCCAAGCATCCTTCTAGCATCCCTTGGATCATTCCGGGACTTTCTGACGGCCTCCAAGGCAGATCAAAACCCGCTTTACTTTCCAGACCAGGTTTAGTCACCCCAGTTAACCAGCATTCTGCTCTTACTAGTGCACACAAGCCTCCTCAATCAGTAGTTTTCTTCTCATCAAGTAAAAAAGTGCTGTGGCCCCTCCCTCCGAGGTGTAACACCAGGCAGGGCTCGGTTCCGCACCGCCGGCATCTCACTGGGATAATCCCAGAATGGGTGGGTGACAGCCCTTCCTGAGCAAAGGACTTATCTCTGGGCCTGGATTGCCAGAGTGTGAAGGCACACTTTCCATCCCCACAGAGGCAAAGCAGAGCCACAGTGAAACAGCTTTGTTTCTAACGAGGAGAATGAGCTGGATGGGCGCCCTTTGGTTTATTTTTAAACTGACAGCTCCTCCAGTTCTGCAAACACCCACTGAAGTTCAGGAAGTCAAGGCTGGAGGCGACTCTGTTGAAAAGCTTAAAAAAAACAAAACAAAACAAAACCCCCAGCAGATTCAGGGTAAACATGTTGGATCACCCAAAATGCATCCTTTCTATCTCTGTTCATGGCATTTTCTGTGCTTCCAGAAGGGCTGGGAAGAACCAGGGCTGGAACAGTCACCAAATGGGGCACTCCAGCAGTGTTACAGGCCTGTGCTAAACAGGCAGTTACATCACCTCGGTGTCTAGAGCCAGTTCTCCAGACCCACAATGTTTGGACAAACTCCAGGTTCATTTCCAGAACCAGGCCCAACATGTAAAAATACCAAATTAATTCTAAACCAGTCTAAAATTCAAAAGGAGAAGAAGAGATGACCATAACCATCCTAGTGTTGAAGGTCCAAATCATTCTGGAGAGATGAGCAAATACAGGTGGGATTGCCACCTTGGATTATCTCTGTTGGAAAAAAAGAGGTACAGGCTCTTTTATGCCAATTTTTATTTCCTTGTGTCTTTCTGAACACGCCTGGCTGGCTTATTCCTCTTGGATGCTGGTAGTAAATTGGCCAGTGTGGGTTCACTGGCTGCAACACCAGAAAACTCTTCTCTAAAGCAAGAGAAAAAAATCAGGGCAAGGAACTTTCGAGGTTTCTCCTGACAAAGGAGCAGGACGTGGAAGGGGAAAAGCTCTCACAGCTCTGGTCTCGCTGCAGGAAACCTTTCAAAACACAGGTTTCACTTTCAGCACAGCCCCGAACGCTGCACCGAGCTGGGACACAGCACACGCTGCCTGGTTGTGCTGAGCAACACAAATTTCACAGACAAATAAGTTTTGAAAAACAGCTTGTGGCTGGAAAATGTCAGAACACTCGTCTAAAGCTCCAGAGAGAGAGAAGAAAATGAAAAAAAATGAGCCACGACCCTGCTGCATCCTTTTCTTCTACATCAACAACAAGGCTGATGTGCCATGGCCCAAAGCCAGCAGGAGGACGCCAGCTGCCCCACACTGCTCTGCTCTGCTTCTGAGCAGAGCTACAAACACCCTGGCTGCAACAGGGGAATGAAAACCCACTTCAATTCTTAATTGCATAATTTTTTTTCCGTATAAAACAAACTAACCTCTTGCATCCCTCAAAGAAAGCAAGACCTTAAGCTCTCAGGCATTTGCAAGAGGGATAAATACGTATTTATTACTCTGAGAAGTCGGTTACTGCTTTATTTTTCATTCTTCCCCTGCCTTGCTCACATTTTTGACCCACAGCTCAAGCTGAATTCGTCACTGCTATCAGCAACAAATACTTTTTTCCTTTAAAAAAAAAAAAAAAAAGAGTGGGCAGTGCCCAAAGTACTAGGAAGTCTCAGGGGATGCAAAGCACTTCCTAAATGCTGGAGCAGGCTGTGATTTTTTACACCCATGGAAATCTGGTTTGGAGCAACTGGTTTAAGATTACACAGGGAGTCTGGGGCACCGCCAAGTACTGGAGTAAAATCTCCTGCAACTCTGTACCCAGTGCCTCAAATGCACCGTCAAGGGGAAGGCAGGGCCAGCACCTTCTCTGTAAGGACCCCAACACTGCATGCAAATGTTGAGGTGGAAGAGGTGTGGGTGGTGGAGGCTGGTGGGTTGTACTCACTTCTGCAATTTTGTGAGGAATGAAGACAATGAATCCTCCTTCCACAATCCAAGTTGTACTATTTACCCTCCCTGCCATCAGATGTCAAATGAGGTTAAGGGCAGCCCTGTTCCCCCTCAGTCAAGAGGGCATTTGTTGGTGTTGGAGAACAAGCCAAGACATCCAAGAAAGGCTTGTGTTAAATACAGTGGAGGAGAGGGGTAAGGCCAGTCACAGGCACCAGCCTTAAACCCTGAGCTCTGGCAGAGCATTTCAGCAAATGGTTTCATGGAACACTGGGAGAGCTGAGGCAGGTAATGGAGCAAACAAGGGAAACTGAGGCACAAAGGGGTTTGGCTAAGGGTATGAAGAGAAAGCCCAGCCTGGAGAGGAGAAGGCTCCATGAAGGCTTTATTGCAGCACTTCAATATAAAAAGGGGGATTTATAAGATGGAGAGAAGCTTTCTACCAGGTCCTGTAGTGACTGGACAAAGGCAACAGTTTTTAACTGCAAGAGGCTAAATTTAGGTTGGATATAAGGAAGAAATTTTCCGTGCTGAGGTTGATGGGACACTGGCACAGGTTGCCCAGAGAAGCTGTGGATGCCCCATCCCTGGAAGCGTTCAAGGCCATGTTGGATGAGATCTTGAGCAACCTGATCTAGTGAAAGATGTCCCTGCCCACAGCAGACGGATCGGACTTTACAGGCCTTTCCAACCCAAACCATCCCGTGATTCATTCTGTGAAGCCGAAGAGTGGTAGAGAGAAGCACAGAATTTAGGTGCTTGGTCTCCTGGGCTGTGTGCAGTGAGCAACCTTCCCTCTCTACGTGCATTTCCGTACAACACGGGGCACGCAGGAGCCCACGTCCCGGCTGGCGCCTGCAGACCCTGCTGCGACACAAACAAAATAAGCGACAACCCTGACAGGAAATACCACAGTCATTCCCTTCGTTTCTAGAATAATTTCTTCTCCAAAATGCTTGGACTGGCATTTCCTCCAGCCCTGCTAACAAATGGTATTTTACTCTTTCTTGCCATACGCCTCCGAAAGGAAAAAGCAAAGCCACCGCAGAGGCCACAAACCCAGCACCATCTTTCCAGGCTTTCCTTGAGGTATTTTTAGCTCCTTCCTCAAAACTTCTAATTTCACAAAGAGAAAAGGCCACAGCTGCCAAGCTTCAGAGGAATCCCTGATGGCAACTGAGGGGGAAAAAGGGGCAAGTGCTTCTGCCCACTCAGCTGGGGACCATGTACCCCGGCGGGCTCGGCCAAGCTCGGCCCCCAGAGCTGGAGCAAGCAGCACTGAGCGCTGGTTTAGATTAAGGAAAATGCTGGAAAAAAATGGAAAAAGTGTTTCCAAGCGAGGTGAATCATGATCTTATACAGAGATCCCTGAAGAGCTGACTGCTGTTTGTAATAAAAGCACACACGGAGAGCAGGAAAACAAGCCGTTAGGCCTAAAATGGAAGCGGTTTCAGAGAAACAGAAGGTGCTGAACGCTCTTTGCTGCTGCACAATCAGAGGGTTGATCAGATTGGGGTCCAAGCTGAGCAATGCCTGTGGAGAAGGCTGTCTAATGGCAGAGGGACACCTTCACTGCATCAGTGCCACTGATGGCAAGCAGGGAGCCAGCCCCACACCTCCACACCTGCCCGTGTGGCACAGAGAGCTGAAACACCACACTGCAAAACCCTAGACCAGCACCAAACTCAAAGACTCCCCTCAAAATCAGCTGCCCTCAGAAACAGTGTTCTGGTCAGAACCCACCTCTGTGGCTTGCTTTAAAGTTGCTCTTGTCAAATCTAACCAGAGAACAGTTTTGCCCATGCTAAGACACCACAGGGATGGGGCCTTTGGATCACTTCTTCCACCCAAATCCACAGCTGCCTCACAAACCATCTGGGACAAAGCCTCAGACTTCAGCATTAACCCTTCTGTGGTCAAGAAAGGCAGGAAAAATCATCACAAGGGGCCTCCTATTCCCTTTGGTGCTGGTCCGAGAGGGGCTCATTCCAGGCTTGCTCGTACCCACCCACCAGACTTTGGGCACTTATTTTGCCTCAGTTTCCCCCTGAGGTAAAAGAGGGACAATGAAGGACACCCACTTCTGCATGCCAGAGGGTAATCAGAGGGATCATTTTCACTTCTCTCATTTTCTTACTCGTTGGACTAGGAAACAATGAGGAAACCCCGCGGAGCCGCGCGCAGCGTTCGGGCGTTAGTGCTCGGGTTACTCCTTTGTACAAAGCCACAAAGCAGTGGGATTTCTCCCCAGATTCTGGTTTTGGCTAAGAGGAGTCAGCACCACAGGGCCAGGCTAGGGGGGGGGACTCCTGCACCTCCCCGAGGTGCACATTGTTTGCATTAGTGCTGTGCTCGCCCCTGCTTTCAGCAACGGGACGTTCGTTAGGAGCCAGACAGCTGGACCGCGGCCCCAAACCGCAGTAGGAGATGACTAATGCGCGTCATTAGGAATTATCTGCACAGAACCCCCACGCACTCCGGGTTATTCAGCAATCAGACAGAAAGCAGTTTGTCTGGGATTGCCCCCTTTCTCCTTTTCGGGGGTGGAAGGTACAATATACCCCGGTCCCTCCCGGGTCCTTGAGGCTCTTTTCCTCTGAAAAGGCAAGTACAGCATGCGAGCAGCGCAGAGGACAGCAGTAAAACCATGCCTAGAAGGTTCACTGCTCCCTGTTGTAGATACTTCTGGTTTATACAGCAGCAGAAATCACAGGCTTCAAAATGTTTATCTAAAGCCACCCACCTGGCAGGGAATAGCTTTATTTCTCATTGGTATTACTCTCTTCACACCCAAGTCAGCTCCACACACAGACAAGGGAAAGCCTCTAAAATCCTTGGGACTCCACTGCCTTTGCCACCTCTAGCCAAGGCTTTCCCAGTCAGTGCTGCTCCCTCTTGGTCCCTTGTTTTTGCCCCCCAGGTGGGGAAGTCCCTGCAGATCTCCTCATAGAGACTCCCATCTTCAAGGGGATATTTATGGACCCCCATCCTATTCTCCAGATGTAAACTAGAGGTGATGAAGCCAAACGCCTTTTAGGCTGCTCTAAGACCCAGAGAGAGCCCTACAACATGAGCTATATTTCACTGGATTATGAGCAAACCTTGTCCTGCATCCAACTAGCCAAACAAAAGAGAGTCCAGAGGTAATTTACTAAAAGAACAACTTCTAGGTCAGTCTGACATTTGATGTAAATGGAAAAATGTTTCTTATGAATATTGGATTTAATTGCCGTGGGAGAACTTGCCATCAAGATTCAGGTGGCAGAGGAGCTGCTGGTTGTCACCCGCTGTGACAGAGGCCACGCCAGCACTGACAACCAGCTTCACACTGCCAATTGCCAAGTGCTATTTATATAAATGAGTGGAAGTGCACAGAAATAGATGCAAAATTAATGTTAATGCAATTGCTCCTTTCTCCCTCCATGCTTTGGTTCAGGATTTCTTAATTCTTCGGGGTTTCCCTTCTTATCCCCCTCATCTTTTTTCTTAGTGATCACAATGCAGATGTTCATTCTGCCGTTCCCTCCTTCTCCCCTTCAGAGCCATTTCTATAAAAAATCTCCTTTGCTCAGTCCAGGAGACGACTTGAAAGGACTCTTTCCAGCCATGCCAGAGGATGCACGAGGAGTAACAAGATGATAAAAGGAATAACAGGAATATGAGGGCAAAGGTTGCAGGAGGAATAACGTCAGAATGATCCCTCTGCTCCCAAAGAACGGCTCCACTTTAACTCACATGCAGAAGGAAAAGGGTGTCCCTGTCTATCCCTCTGCCATTTTCCCACAAAACAGAGAGGCAGGACAACGTAGTGCCTGACACACCTGACCAGGACTCAGGAGATTCCAGCTCAGCCATCACATCTGCTGCCAGCTGCCCAGGCAATCCAAGAGAGGAAAATCAGCCACGCCGTGCTGTTCTCATTTTCAGATTGTTCCACCACAAGGCAGTACACATCCAGAGGCTCAGCCTCAGTCCTAAACTCATTTGTAAGGAAAGCAAACTAAGAAAAAAAAGATTTGCAATTTGCCAAGGGACGTTCATTTCCTAAGACGATCTGACGCAAAACCATCGATATTTTGGGGAAGAAATATTCTGGAGCACACACCACCACAGACTGCTTTCTTGTGTGGCCCAGGCCTACCAGGAATACTGTCTGGCAGGCTTTGAATTTCAACTTCTGTCAAGAGAGCACTAAGAAACCCCTCCAGGAGACAGGAATGAGATAGCATTTTGGTTGTGTTTCTCTGTGGACCAAAAAGCTGCTGCAAGCCACAAAGAACTGGCTAGTTAGCCAAGACATTCTTGTTCAAAAGTGTTTTTCACTGGAAATTTGGAACACTGACTAAAGGATTCCCATGCCTCAGAAAAGCATTTTTCCACAGAAAAGGAAAGATTATTATTATTATTAATTGAACAACTGAACTTCCAGACCCAAGTAGTTCTATGTGAGCGTGTTCCTGCAGGGCCTCAATAGAGGCGCCAGCAATGAGATGATCAAGAGGACATTTTAAGACCTAAATGCCCCGTGCCTCACCCCCTCTCCAAAAAGGGAGACTGTGCAGGACATCCTTCAGCCCAACCAGCCAACCTGATCAGAAGAAAAAAATAAAAGAGAAAGAAAAGGGAACACCAAGTACCAAAGGAACAACAAATCACTGGCAGGACGAGAGCATTGCCAAAGCAATCTCTCCCCCACATCAATCTCTGTCCTAAAAAACAAGGAAAAAAAATCCCCAAACAACTCGATTAAAAGTTTCTGAGCTGCAAACACGAACCAAGTCCCGGACTAATTCCACCTACTTTGGCCACTCCCCACCTCCCAGACTAGACTCCCGTCGTCCCACGAGCCAGACTTGTTCCAGCTAGTCCAATTTAGTGAAGCAACAATTCAACATCCTCCAACGCCCTTCATCTCGTGGGGCCTGTTGGTCTGAATCCTCAGCTCCGGATGCGCGAGGAGAGCGGGATGCTGACTATCTGCATCTCCTCCATCAGAGAGCTCTGAGTAACACTGAGCACGCAGCTACAGCTGCTCCACTTGTGGATAAAAGGAAAAATCAGAAAGGAGGCAATTGTTTTTCCAAGCATCAGCGCTGTAATAAGAAGGAAAGTTTGATTCCCAATATAATAAAATTACACTCAAGTGGCAGCCAACTATTCGAAAGCTGATATCAGAGCACCAACTCTGCTGGTGATTTATAAATGAAGATACAGAGTGGGTGGGCTGTGGATATGAACTTCATTGCAAGATGTCAACTTTATGAAACTTCTGCAGATATTCAGTCAATGAAAACCATTATTCTCCTTATTTTCCACAAGGTATCTGGCTAACTGTGCATCTGCAGCATTTACAGCACAGTTCTCAGATGTGACAGCAGGGATTTTCCCCTCATTGTGCAAAAACAAGTATGTCATTTACGAGAGGTCTAAAAAACTTTGCTGCCCTGAAAGCAACCCGAGATGGCTCAGTACGGTCCCCACCCATCAACGTGCAGAAAATGCTGCCCTTGGAGCCATCCAAGGCTGCGCTGGGTTTTCTGCTTCGCCTGCAGCTGCAGAGGAGCCAGCTCCGAATTTCTCTGGTCAGTCCTGTAAACATCTTGGACTTATTTCAGCATGAGATGAACACAAGTCCAGTGATTCAACTTGGACAGCTGCTACCGCCAGGACAACACACTTTGAGACAAGACATGCTACGTGCGCACGTGTTTTCGTCTGCATGTGTCTAGGAAGTCTAGAGGGATTCGGGATAGGATTTTTCCTCTCTGCATGCAGAGCTCTTTGTTTGTAGCACAAATGCCATTAAAAAAATGCATGACGACAGTAAATGACAATTTGTTTTCCTCCTTGCTGGGCATTCAGCAGTTGCAAAGTCGGCTGCAAGCTTGTTCTAAGCCACAGCACTAGAAGTGGAATTCCTAGTGGATCTGCTCCCATGCTTCTCCAGCAGCTTCCCAGTCCTCTTAATTTTTGTCTCCCTTTTTTTCTCGCTATTTTGACAACTCAATTGATTTCTTCACAACTTTCATGTTCACGTAATATTTGTTCCATACACAAACAGGCTATTAAATCCAACTCAGCTATTATATCAGTGTCAGCAAATAATTTCCGACATTTCTCAAGGGACAACGTTTTTGTTCACCAAAACAACTCTGAATGTGCAACAGGGCCAAAATGTTTGGGTTTAGGAGTGTAAAGATAAACACCAGTAATTAATAATTAAACACTTTATATAAGAATGACATTATTCCTCCCCAAAGAGCCTGGGTGTCTACAGCTCAAAGTTGGCAGTCTGTCTTTCAAATATCTGAAGTCAAATATGCACGTAATAAGTACTGTATTTCATCAGTGCTGTCAGTACAAAACATTTGACTTATCCAAGTCTTAAAGCTGCACAGACTGCAACAAGTTCTACCACTTTCAGTGTTAACCAACGGTTAAAAGTGCCTTGAGGTGGGAATTGAGCTTAAAACCCAGTTTCAGGCTCTGTTGTTATATTTTTTAATTATTTGGGGCATTGCCCTTCTGTGCTCCTCTGTGATATGGGGATGCCTGTAACTTCCTTTCAGCTCTTCAAAAAGAGATCCTAAAGCTTATGCCTTGGTGAAATTATTATATTTCTGATGTACTAAGGTCCCACAGCACTTGTTAACTTCAGTTCTAACATTTAAACTCTGCACTACCAGCATGGCAAGCACCATGCCCACCTCTTCGGTCTGTTGGAATTTGAGGTAGAATCAAGCAATGCCTTACCTGTTTACTGCAGTGGACACTGGTTTTATTCCTGTTGTTGTCCAGCAGCCCCCCACATTTGCCCAACGCTGCCAAATCCTTCATAATAGAGTTCAGAGCTTCTTCTTCATCTGCAAAAGAAGGTGAGACAGCTGAAGTGTGGAAGGCAACCTCACCCCCAGAACTACAGAGTAAAAGCACAGCACTGCAAAGACAAGCTTTCAATCCAAATGGATCAAGAGCCACGATGTCAAGCCTTCCTTTTAAGAGAGACGTTCCAAGGCGTTCCAGCTCATGGTGTCTTGGAAATACAGGTTCTTCACCACTGGTGAGCCAAATCCTCAGATCTTATTGCAGCCTTTCAGTACCAGAAGGGGGCTTACAAGAAAACTGGAGAGGAAATCTTGACAAGGGCAAGTAGTGAGTGACAGGACATGAGACAATGTCTTTAAACTGACAGAGGGTCAGTTCAGATTAGATGTTAGGAAGAAATTTTCCACTGTGAGAGTGGTGAAGCCCTGGCACAGGTTGCCCAGAGAAGCTGTGAATGCCCCATCCCTGGAAGTGTTCAAAGCCGGGTTGGATGGAGCAGCCTGGTCAAGTGGAAGGTGTCCCTGCTCATGGCAGGGGGATTGGAACTGGATTATCTTTAAAGTCCCTTCCAGATCCAGTTTTTGTGGTGTATGGTGGTGCTCTGCAGGACAGAAACCTTTCAGGACCCAGAAAGCTCATGGCAGCAGATGATGGGGCACAACACAGTTCTTCATCTCTTTCTTTCCTCCCCCTTCATTAGGGGTGCTCAAGAACCACAGAATGATTTTCAAAACCAGAGGCAGGAAGAAACCACGGGAGAGGGCAAGGAATTCATAAGAAGAGATAAAGTCAGCAATGCTGGATAGAAGAAATCAGAGAACTTTGAAGGACCCATTCGATCTGAAACCAATCTCCTCCTTTTCAACACTTTTCCATCTGTGCTTGTGGCCTCTTAAAGCAGCTCTGAACTGTGACACTGCAAAATACCAACCACAAGCTCTAAGAGCCCTGTCAAGACCTAGGGCAGGGCACGCTCCTTAGGAGGGTGTGAGAACCCACTGCAGCTCCATGTTTGTGATATACCCAAGACAAATATTAGGCACGTGCAGCTATTACTGTAAAAATACAAATACAGCTACAAATTTTGTCTAAAAGCAAGTGTCTCCAGGGACAGAACCACCCCTACACCAAGCCAGCCTGCAGATTTAACTCAAAGTCCACAAATATGTGAAAAATTACAAAAATTGTATGAAATCAGACAGGACCAGACCCAAATACTGAGGATCTTTCCCCAGGGAGGTGTATGTCCTGGATCCTCGTACTCAGATACAATATCATATCCTCTTTTTCTGCTCCTCCTGCTGGGTTCTGTCAGGACTGAAGGCGTGGAAAAAAAAAAAAAGATGAGAGAAAAAGACTCACCATGCATGCTGTGCACCCAGAGCCATCTCATTAAAGAAATGAGGGGGAAAACTGAGGGAAAATGTTTAAAATCCAGTGTCACTTTCATTTTATTGCTCAGAAATGAGCTCCAATGCCTCCATCAGACTATTAGGAAAGTGCCTACATTTTCCTGTACACAGTGTGTGTGTGTGAATATTTAGTATATAAACAGATATCTATGTATCAATATTAAATATACAATTGATAAAATAATAAAATTCATACCAAAGTACATTAAAATACAATTCCTTTTCCTTTCCACATTTCCCTATTTACTAAAAACACAGGTATGTTTTTCCAAAGGGGTGGCAGGGAGAGCAGCCTGAAATGCCACAAGAAAACACTCAAGAAAAAGATAATTTTCAGTTCTAGTTCAGAAAAAAAAGCCAAAACAAACAAACAAACGAAACCCAAACCCACAACAAGAGTATCCCCATAGTTTGGGTTTGGGGTATTTTTCTTTTGTTGTTGTTGGTTTGGTTTGGGTTGCCTTTTTTTTTTTTTAAAGGACCTCTGGGACAAACACAGTTTTCCACACAGATTTTGTGGAAAATACCCGACACAAAAAAAAAAAAAAAAAAAAAAAAAAAAGCCTTTTTTTTTTTTTTTTGGGGGGGGGAAGAGGGGAGAGCTAAAACAAACCTACAAAACAAAACCCCTTACGCTGCCCTTCAGGAATTTTCCACCAAAGCCCTAATCTCTGCAATGCCCCTCGCCCCCTTTCTTTTTTTCCAGCCCGAGTGACAACAAAAGTTTCCTGAACTTTTTTTCCTGACACAGAACACAATCCATAAAGTCACGGGCAAACAGGGCTTCAACAGGCAGAGGCAGAGCCAGGTTTTTGCTACCAAAACCACCCTATTCACCACCACTCTCCCAATTCCAAACCTCCCTGGCCAGGCCTGGCAGCGTCTTCAAAGAGATTCATCTCTGGTTAATCCACCAAGGATAATCCAGAACTTGCCCCAGGGAGGGACAGTAGGATTTGCTGGAGGGCAATAGGAATAATAATAACAAATAATAATAAACCAACAAACAGAGACAGAGCAATTTCAAAGTTTACTGGAGTGGCTGTAAAGCCACTTCTCTCCATCCCAAGAGAAAGACCTGCAGCCCCCAAGAGTTGGCCCAAGCTCCCCACAGACCACTTGTGACAAGTTGTTTACCAGAGGGCAAAGCAAGGAAGGCCAATTTCCCTTGGACTTCTGTGTTCTTCTTAAACACCAAGGAGTTTCCAACGTCTAGGAAAGGTTTGGTTTATGTGACACTGCCCTCAAAGCAATAAGTGAGTCTTTCTCCTTTACCTACCCATCATTTTTGCCAATACTTTTTGCAACACAGTCTTTCGAGTCCATCAAACACAGGTTTAAAAATTCCTACTGCTGCAAGTCCAGCTGCATCACTATGGAAGTCACATTTCTGAGGAAGTCAGGCTACACATCTCAGCCAGAAGCAACCTTTTGCATCTCTCCCAGCATAGCAAAGCAAGGAGAATCCACTCCCTTTCAGTAACTGCCTAAATGCAGCCGATTTTCAGAAATACCCAACCATCAACTGAAGCAGCCAAGAACCAGTGGTGTAAAACTGGGCTCCAGCTGCCCTAAATCAGTTACTGAAAGAAAAAAGAAAAAGAAAGAGAAGTCATTTCTTGTATTTGACTGTCAACTCAGCATCTTTGTTCCTCTATCTACTAAAAAGCCAATGCAAAAGAGTACTCTGAAGAGCATTTGAGGATTTTTAATTATAAAACATGGGCGTTACTAGTCCAAAAAAACCCAAAATACACATCTGCGCCATCACTGCTACAAAATAAGGTAAGAAAATTTCTCTTTATATGAGCAGGAGAGGTTGTTTTCTACTGCTGGAGTGCGAAAGAACATGACTTACACACAAGAAGAAATACAATATTTCCTTGAACGAACGTATTTATATGTGCTTAAGTATTTTTTAACCACTTTTAACAGTGTGTTTTTAGTCCAAGAGAGCTGCAATTTCAGAGGCACGATGACCAAAGCCTCAACTGTTCAAAACAAAAACCCCCACACCATGGTCTGAAGAAACTTCTGAGCAGGAGAATGATTTGCATCATCGGTTGCAAAACCGACACTTCCCAGTCCTCTCCATGACAGCTTTGCACAGGGACTGATGCCTTCCAGACTAAACCTCTTGCCCATTCTAATTACTGCTCCTGGGGTCTCCAAGCTGACTCGCAAGAAGGGTGGAGAACTTTGTTCCATGGAAATAAGCGGCCAGCTCAGCCAGTTCAGTCAAAATTCGAACAAGCACTGGAGCTAACCAGATAATTAAATCCAAATGACACTCCCAAGCCCTTCCAGAGAAGGGGGTGTCACAGGCTGCTTGTTCTCCATTTGGCTCAGTTTGAGTGAGGAGTGGGTGCAGGATGGATGGCTCTCCCAGGGGCAAAATGCCAATCATCAGGAATCCCAGGCCCAAGGGACAGACAGGATCAAGATTCTCCTTTTCTAGCCCTGGCAGGGCTCAAGTTTTCTTCAGCCTTGTGAGAAGGCAGCATTGAGACTGCACAGCAAACACCTTCCCAGGCTTTGCCATGGCTCCAGAACAAAACAGCTGCAAATTGCACACCACCAGTGAAGTATCCTCAGCACTTGGATGGACTTGGAGACTCGTGGAAACCCTTTTACAATGTGAGCACGTCCTTGCTCCTGAACAACCTTCTGGCCCAGCTTCACTCTTGCACCATTTTGTACAAATTCACTTAAGGTACTGTAGGCTGACAGGATGAATTGTTCAATGATGTCTGCTCTCTACCCAGAACACATATAAACAGGATTATTTTTACCATGGAAGATCAGGACAAAAAAAAGCTGATTACAGAGACAGCAGAAATGAAACATAAAAATAAATTGTGTTTAGTACTGTCCCTCTGTCCCCGGTGTCTCTTCTTCCATCCTCAGTTCTGTCTTTATTTTCAGCTATTTCTTTCAGTAGGAAACTCATTTCTTTCATCCCTACTTCCCACCAACAACCCGATTTTGTGCTTTTTAAATCATCTCCCTGAGACAAAGCTCATTTGATCATGCTGCCAGCCCATCCAACCAAGGACCACTTCCAACCAAGAATAATAGATGTCTCAAAGATATTAATTTCCCAGAGGTTTGGGGGCGGGGGGATATATCCATAGCCACATTGAAGAGAGGAACACACAGAAGTAGTAAGCCAAGAGCACTCCCAGGAAGCAATGGCCAGTGGAGCTACAGTGGATATGGGAAGGTTGGGTTTATATTTTTATTAAAGCACAACTCATCCGTTTTGGCAGGATCTTATATCAAAACCAGAACACCTCCTTTTTCTCTCATCCAGTTTTCAGTTCTGCGAGATGTTAAGACTCACAAGTCCCAGATTCACTAGCAGTGTGAATCTGGAGCATTTGGCACTTGGCAAAATCAAAGTGCCAGAAGATGACACATCTCTCTGCCCTTCAGATACACGTTTCCGGTGCTGCTCCATGGCTCTGGTTCCAGAGTGCGTGAGGGAGAGAGGAACCTGGAGTTTCAGTCTTAGTACAGCCAGTTCGCTGCTCTTGGAGAAGGAAAAAATAAAACCCACAAGGGAGAAATAGAAAGCCTGAAGGTCAACACGGACCACCCAAAACAATTCAAGAGTCCGGAGAGAA